CAGCATGACCAGAAGATGGTAGTAATAAAGGGCAGAGTTTCGGTTGGTATTAAAATGCAAAATTTTCTCAAAAAAAAAAAAAGTACTGCTAGACTAATGCTATTGCCATCCTCGTCATCACAGTTATGTTTATGTCAGGATCTCTTTCCAGATTTTTTTTGAGCTCATAGCTTGCATATTTAGTGAAACTGTGGTTTCAAAGTATCTCTCAAGGGTTATCATGTATAAGATTGGAGCAATGGAAAATTTACCTTGAAAGTAACAACCATAAATATGAACTGCCACATTTATCCAAGTGGATTCACAATGGACACTTCAATAATAATTACAAGTCTCCAGGTCATCACATATGTGAGATCCTCCTTTCCTGACCTTCCACAACAGATTCCAGAGTATAAGCAGGAAAATACAGAAATAAAATACAAAGCAACAAAAAGGCAATCATTATATACCAACCAATTAACATGAGGAAATCAATTTATGAACAATTCTAATAAATGTTAATCAATGCACAACCTCACCACTACCTGTATTAATGGATACATTACTAGTTTACATCTATCATACAAACAGTGTTTTAGTTTGAGTAATTTGAAAAGAAAATCCATATTATCTACAACCACCTTTACACAGTTTTTTAAGAACACCATTTTATTAACCTTACTGGCTAACATCTTTGAGAAATAGTCAGCTGCTCTGTCCAAGTAGGTGCACTGTATCTCTGTATCTCTGAGACAATCTGAAGTCTGCACTTACATTGTGCTATTACTTCGTCCTGTCATCAACAGATGGCAGCTCTACATTCTTTGTGGTCTCTTCTTTGACCCAAGAAAGCATTTTACTTGTCACTATACACCAAAGATCCAAAAATAATTTTGTATTTCAGCATCCGGTTGCAATTGTTCTCATTAGTATCCATTTGTCTATATCCANAAATATATTAAAATGTTTTCCCTGTCAGCTTGTTCCTCACGTTAGTTATTTGCGCCTGGTTTTTGTTTCCTCCTCAATGTGTGGTGTTGACTAGTAAAGACAACATCACGTTGAGGAGGAAACAAAAACCAGGCACAAATAACCAACAAGCTGATGGGGAAAACATTTTAATATATTTTACAGAAGTGACGACACCATGAGTGAAGTGAAACAACAAATTATAAAAGAATTTTATCTCGTTTTAATTGAAGGACTGCAGCGTGTGGTTTGTAAATGAATTGGAACAGCGAAACAGTGTAGCAGTTTTAACGTCTTGATTGAATATCTGTAATAAAACACCTGAAGATGGCCCTTTGAGGCCAAAAGACGTAGTGCTAAGTGTTAAAGAATATACTGAAGTGTAAAACAAGTGTTGCAATTTAGACAGATATAGACAAATGGACGCTAATCCAAAAATAAGGTAACACTGTAGCAGCAGGGACTTGCTGCTAGCTGCAATGACAGACAGGGTGACACTTAAAGAAGCCTTCTAGCAGTTAAATATTTTGCTATTTGTAACATTCACAATTTTATTGTGCATGTGGATTAAACATTCACAGAAATGACACCTCAAAGATTTGTCTATAACAGAACAATACTAACACATGCATAATGTGTTCTTATAAGAAAACTGGCTAATATCAAGTGGTTCTCAACATGGGGAGGGGGTTTCACTTGAGAATGCATGAGGCATTTCAGGGGGGCAAGGTCATGGAAAAAAAAATTTAATTCTGATGTCATATTCAGCTGAAATAATGCTTTTTAGCTATATTTAAATTCTCTCTTCTGTAAACACGATTGAGAACTATTACTCTACACATTAAAAATGTTATGACTATTAGCCTTCAACATTTGTCATCATTATTCATCACCAAATAGCACCATGCAGCACTTTAATTTAAACAATTTGAATATTTTACTCGTAGTTTTGGTATGATACTTATTATGAGTTAGTTGATCATAAACAATAAAATAAATATAAGTGCAGAGGGTTATATTTATTTCAATAATAAATACTGGGGGCATGATGGTTTAGTGAAGACCAAAACGGGTGGCATAATGCCAAAAAGTTTTGGAACTACTGGCTTACATGTTATGTAATTACAAATGTACTGCACACAGTCAAATTTAGAACATAATTTTGTAATCAACAAGAAATTTTTAGATTTGAGGCTCTGACAGCAGTGGTTATGAAGGGTTCTGTCTTTTGAGATGTAATGCTGTATAGTCCACTGAAGTCAACCAATATCTCACAGGAATATGTCGCCTCTATCTTCACAACTGATGAATAAGCCAAGCAAGAAACCAGGATGGAGCAGGTAACAAAAGAACCTGCTTGTGACATATTCTTCCGAAACACTGGCTGACTTTCAACGGATTACATGGCATTATATCCCAGAAGACAGAAATCTTCAACAGACATTTTAATTCAGATTATGTCTCATGTGTTGTGACTGTGTAACACTGCTGGTCAGTACCAACATTTGTGAGGACCATGCTGTCTCAAACGTCAGGGACAAACTTTGTGTTGTGAGGATGTGGCCAAGATATACAGGCAGGCGATAAGAACCATGGTCACTCAGATGGGAGAGGGATCAAAGATGCAGTTGGGTCCAAAGACAGGAACTGCAAGAGCATACGAACAACATTTATTAGAACATGTATAACTGTGCTGCTGGAGGGGCAAGGAATTACCTCATTCCTGTTCCCACTGGCCCAGGTGTGGTTTAGTTCCTCAGCTTGTCCTGTCAATCTGGGTGACCACCATCTTTCCAGCCTGCCTGTATAACCTCACCACATTCTCATCATATTCACTCTGATCCTGAATATGGAGGCAAGTTCCAATGAAACATTGGTATCTAACTACAATACTACACAATGTCACATCTTAAACAACTGTAATATGAACACACATGATTGTGAAGGATTATAAAAATGTTACTTGGATTAATAAGTACAGTGTGTTCAGTAAAGGCGGAAACTTTGCAACACCGCTGACCCGGCCCAATATTCCTCACAGTTTGCTGCTGTAACTGCTGATAACCACACATGGTTACAGTTAAGCAGTAATCTGTGAGGAATATTGGGCCCAGTCAATAGTGTTGTAAAGTTTCCTCCTTGATTGAACACCCTGTATATTGAGGGCCTGCTATAATGAAGCCCTAAATCCAATAGCATAATTTTGAATTCTAATATGGACCTATGTTGTATTGTGACCTCAGTATATGCTTTTCTATGTATGTACCGCACACCCTATAAAATTTCTTTATAACTTCACAAAGCATAGAAAATCCAAAGCTCCAGTTAATTCATTTATAAATTTACAAGTATAGTAGAACCACACTTAACGAGCATAATTCGTTCCAGAATCTTACTTGTAATGCGAAACACTCGTTAAGCAAAACAGTTTTTCCCAAATAAATTAACGTAAAATACGATAATGCGTTCCATGCTGAAAAAAATACTCAACAAATTTTATGTATAACGTTTATTCAAAGAAAATTATATATACTGTAACATGTTTCGTTACTGAAGATGCCGGTCAGATTGTTAATTGGTTTATTTAACAACCTACAAGTCTTGGCTACAATTAATTACAACACTGTTGCGGGTTTCCACAGTTTCACAGTTTACAAACCCTACACACAAATCTCTTCACACTATCACAATTCACTCGTTACAACTGAACTCGGTGACTACTACAATTCAACTCACTCCTTACTACTCACTGCTGGCTAGATTCCAACTTAACTCATAGGCTGCTGCCTTGAGAACTCACTTCAGCGACTGATACACTTAACTCGCTCCGTAGGCTGCTAGCTGCTGGCTAGATTCCAACTCAACCCATAGGCTGCTGCCTACTGCTATCTGCAGTATTACAAATACTAGACTGCAATACATTGTTAAGGAGCGTGAATCATCTTCATCTTTTCTTCTATGCGGAATGAACCAACTGATTTGCAGAAAACAAGAAAAAAAAATCGAAATAATTAGTTCATTATTTATGATACATATCTAATTCTTTTTTCTTAGAAAGCTGTCTTAGAGACATTTGTTTTTGCCGAAACATCAAAATTTGGTGAAAATGCTCACAGCATTATCATTAAATAAATTTATAGCGCGCATAGCCACTGTCTTATTAGGGTGATGCTTCTCATTTAACAATGCAACAGTTTCCCATGCTTTCAGCATTTCTCTTATTGCACCAGAAGATTGTTGCTTTGCTGTTACCTCCTCCTCCTCCTCCTCCTCCTCCTCTGACAAACTCTCCTCCACAACTTCTTGCTGTGAAACACAATGCAACTCCAAATCGTGCAAATCGTTGATGTAGACCAACAGTATGTGCATGCTAGATCAGCCATGCTCACATCTCGTTCTCACTTTTCAATGATTTTATGTTTCATTTCTACGGTTATTTTTATTTTCTTATGGCTGTCTTTTTCCGGCATTTTCTTTGGGGACATTTTTGCAAGGGTTATTAAACTCTGCACAAAAAAAATCACAAATAATATGTCTGAACACAAGTTTGGAAAAATGTGTGATCACAAGCGACACTAAGATTCTAGCGGAACAAGTGCTAAACATGGACAATCAAGCGCACAATCTGGGACTTCCCCTCTCGTCACTCGTTATGCAAAACGTCGTTCGTTAAGCGAGTAATTTTTTTACAATTTGTTTTGCTCGTTATGCGAATTACTCGTTATGAGAGGTGCTCGTTAAGCGAGGTTCCACTGTATACTGTACTTTAAAAAATAGGGCTCTCCTCATTTATGTCATAGCTTTTTTTTTCCTCCACTTTTATACTCATAACAGTGAGTATGTAAACATATACAATTCATAACTATGAATTTATGATTTTATTTTATCTCGGTATAGACAGTTAAAACACAATAGTCAACTCTGAAACATTAGCTATACAAACAAAAACGCTGCAAGGGCTGTGTATATAGCATCACATACAGAGCAGAGCTACCATGCCTAGAAGTCGAAGGTGTCCTGCGAGTCATCATCTGCTGAGTTAGACTTACCTGCAGAAGGTGAGTACAGTGAGCTTGTCTCGTCATCTAGGTCATCCTGACTGCTGCTCATCCGACCTACACAAGACAACCAGGTGCAGACATTTCCCGCAAACACATTACTAACACTATCTTATATTTACTGGCTGAGGTCTGTCCAGTGTCATGAGCTCCCAGAGGTTTAAACTGAGATGCCACAAAGAAAGAAAACTTCCCCACTCTGCAAACCAGCCAAGCCCCAGGTCACAGATGAAGCCCCTCCTCAACCTAAAAGGCTGAGGAGGCCACTGGTCAGTCATGAACTAAGATGCCCCACCATATTTGAAATATGCTTTAGTTCTATCACCATAATCATCCACATACCTGATACAGAACACACAAAATGCTAATAGGACATGCAAACAGATAAAACAATGATTCTATTTCCAATCTGATAAAATGAGATGCTTATGTCACAAGTTAGACTGAGAAGAAAACAGGTAGCATAGTTCTCCAGTGTCACTTAAAGTTTTTATGGAAACGCCAGTAAAAGTTTAGTTTATACTTGTCTGGGTTTTCATTTTTTTACCGAGTGAAATGAGATGAATGAGATGAGATGAAATGAGATGAATGAGATAATAATCACATCACCACGTGTAACTTCACCTTTTGCATTTTAGCTGTGCTGTACGTGGAAGCATATGATGCAGGCACCATTTCCACGATGACATTCACCATGAATATATCGACTGTGATGTATACAAAATATTTGGAAGAGATTCAATAAGTGATGCAGCTAAAGCCCTAAAGATGAATTACACACAAGACAAACATCACAAAAACCTACGGACACAAGAAATTCAAGCAGGCCTACATAGAATGAGGGAAGGTCCTAAGGAGAGACAGCAGGACATTAATATGCCGCTGTCCTCAACTGATTTCAAACATCCATCACTCCAACAGACATATAAACAAAAAGTTGTGGCTCACCTCTCATGGTTCCTCTACCATTCGCTGTCCCTCTGTACAAGACGGATTCCAAATATTGCAAACCGCTATTGTTGATAATGTTGAAACCGCATAATAATTCTATTTGTTTCCAGCGATGCACTCTCTCCTGAAGTTCCTGCGTAACTTCATTCAATGAAGTCCTGAACAATCATACAGGTACACAGACTTCAAGTGTAACTATTAAAAGATTGTACGAGAGTTCAGATTCTCAGTGCAGTGAATATTAAGTTCACAGTCTTCTGAGTAGTGACACTACAGAGGCCTTTCAAATTCCTCCGAAATGTTGGGAACCATCTACCAAAATATGCAGCATCACATCCCTGAAGACAGAAGCCTTAACATCACTTCCTTTAAAACCCTATATTTGATGCTTTTTAAACTGTGTACAGTGAAACCGCCACTTAAAGATACTTTGGGGAACAGTGGGTCTGAATACTGCATTGAGGAAAATCCAACATGGAGGTACTTTCACAATGTGACTGATTATTATCTTACTTACTCACTCATGGAACTGAGCCCTTCTTGAGGAGCCACCAATTCTGCAGCTACTCAAGAACTTCCCAACATTTTATGGAACCCAAAGGTTCATTACAGTGTACACAAGAGCCCTCCACTGGTCCCTATCCTGAGCCAGATCAATTTAATCCATACCATCCCATCCTATCTCTCTAAGATCCATTTTAATACTGTCCACCCACCTACGCCTTGGTCTTCCTAGTGGCTTTCCCACCAGGATCCTATATGCATTCCTCTTCTACCCCATTTGTGCTACATGCCCTGTATACCTCATTCTCCTTGACCTGATCATTCTAATTATACTTGGAGAAGAGTACAAGTTATGAAGCTCCTCATTATGCAGTTTTCTTCAACCTCCTCTCACTTCATCTCTCATGGTCCTCATCACCCTGTTCTCACACACTCAGTCTATGTTACTCCCTTAATGTTAGAGACCAAGTGGCTTTGGATCAGTGAAACTGAAGGTTAAATGAGCTAAAACCTTAAACTGAGGAGCCTTAATGGGGGTTCAACTGTATTAACCCCATAAACATAAGCTTTTTAAACTATCCACAAATTTTTCCAGTGGGGGGGAAGGAAAAAAAAAAGGAACATGAAAAATGACTGAAAGATTTCCAATAAGGCACAAAATGAGCTGTATACATGACGGCTGAGGCTCAAAACAGAGATGAAGAGCACTGTCTTCCGCAATCTACTACGTCCATCTGCAGGGTAGAAGATGGGGGACAGCAAGTTCCACCAAAACAGCGATAATGATACACCAGATTACATGACGTAACATCCCAGAAGGTAGTAACCTTCAGCTAATATTCAGTTCAGATGTCACATTCGCCTGTCAAACATTTACATGAATTTGTATACAATTTCATGGAAATTAAATTTATTTGATGGACTAGTTGAATTAGCATGATACTGTGCAATGATTCTTGCCAAAGCTATGTATCAGTTTGTCTGACCTGCAAGTTTTCTTACCTTGCTTCAACTATGCTCCTGTCCACATCATCTATTGACTTCCCGTGTGTCGACACAAACGCACCAACTAGACTCGACCTTTTCTTCCTAAGTTTTTCACACTGTTAGTGATAAGAACAGAAAATAAATTTCATAATTGTAGGCCTTAAGTAATATTCAAATACAGAAAACAGAGAAACGTTCATCACAGTCAATAATTCTATATCTTTAGGAGACTGAAATTAATTCAAGGTCCTGAATCCTGAAAGAACTGTTCCTTGTTCAACCCTGAGCCTGGTGTGATGATTAGGGGAAACTCAACACATCAAATTTAGGACTTACCTAAAATTACAATCTTAATTCTGTTCATAAATATCACAAATGAAAACCAGTTTCTTACCAGTCATAAAACAGAGTCATAATAATATATTTTCCAATGTTAATATTCGTTATCCTGAAAATGGCTCTAAAAATCACAGTGTATCTTATGCACAGGCCAGAACTACAGTGAACTTACTGGGTTTGACATATTCAAATATATGAAGAAAACACTGGGGTCAGGCTTATTTCTGGAGAAATAAACAGCTGAAGAACAAAAGTTACATTTCACTGCCACCGAGATGCACCATGAATATTACTATTGTTGAGTTAGTGAACATTAAAGGTCTCTCTGAGAAAAGTCAAAATTATGCACAATCTGAGAATATGGCGGGAAATATATTTCCACGTATCTCCTCCCTAAATCGTTACATGCCATACACTGACGCATCTCATTCACTAGGAAACACCATAACCATCCTCTTCGCTTGTGAAAGACTTGAGGTTGTCAAGGCTGTGATTTGGAAGATTACTGTCTTCCGGGATGTGCCACCAAGTAAGAGTAAGCTGGCAGAAAGTTACCGGTGTTTCACAGGAACCTGCTGCATACATCTTCAGGGTTGAAGAGTGAAAATGAAGGCAGCAGGTTGCTCCAAAACTTCGATACATATCATATCATCATATTCCCTGCAACGACAACATCTAGTCTCTCGTGTTTACTATCATTTTGGAGTACATACTGCTTTCATTTTCACAGTTAACCCATCTACCAGATTAAACAGGGGGCACATGGTAGCACAGTTGGTTGAGGCACTAAGTTACATGCCGGAGGGTTGCGGATTCAAATCTCAATGAGATAAATGGATTTTTCAATTGATCCAATCCTTCCAGCTGCTGGGGTTGACTCAGCCTCTAACAGAAACAAGTACCAGGAATCTTCCTGTGGGACAAACAATGGCCAGTGCATAAGGCTGAGAACCTTACCACTGTCTGTGAGTCGACTGCCTAGAAAATTTGGGAGCCTTGACATCTCACAACCCTATGGGCCTCCACGGCCTGTTACAGGGATAGCTTTACTTTCTATTTATTTTTAAGACTAAACGACGTGACATCCCAGGTGACTGCCATCTTAAAGTAACCATTCATTCTGTTCCTTTCCTAGCATTTCAGACATAGATTCTAGAACTTCCCCGGGCCTAGAACTTTCTGAAAAGAAACAAACTCACTGCTTCACGAGCCTGCTGTAACTGTTTCTCTGCCCCGTTCTTCTTCTTGATATATGCTTTGTTCTCAATTTCATGTGTGAGCTGAAGCCACTGCTGAAGTCCAACTGGTGGGGACCAACATCGGTCTTGTAGTTCTCCTTCCGCTCGCTGCAACTCTGCACGTAGCATCTGTTAGCAATATACACATATACATCAGCACACAGTAGACTAATCTTCAACCTTTAACAACTATGACACCATTCGGTGTGCCAGGAGTTTACCAGCATTTTAGAGGAATGTACTAACCCCATCTTAAGCGTCAGAGTGTAAGCCAAGCAAACAAGCTTGACTTACTTTTCGACAATATTTCGACCCTGAAGATGAAAACATAAGGACACTTCTACCACAGCACACTGCGTCACATCACCAAATACAATCCGTTATTCTTCATGGATGCTAATTTGGATCCGTTACTGTTCCCAAATACTGTATTTGAACTCTCCCACATTACTGATAGGTTTATTAATTACTTATATTTATTTGTGGGAATAATTTTATGCAACGGTCAGGATATATAATGTAATGTGAAACCTGTTGACACATGCCTCTATTTCAGCTTTCAGCTGTGACACTTCAAGATCCGAGTACGAGGTGTGTAGTTCCATGTGATCACTCCCTTGCTGCTGAAGCTGCCTCTCCAAGTTCTGTTTCTCTGACGTCACACACGCCTGTTCCAGTCTAGCACGCTCCAATTCTTTCTGAAACAAATGCAATGGACTATATTAAAGCCAAAGATAATTCAGACTGCAGTCGTCTGGGTTATGTCAGCGTGTGGTCTTGTAGGTAGATACCAATATTTCAAAGGAACATGCCGCTTCCATCTTCAGGGTTAATGTGACCAGGGTGAAGATCATCAGGTTATAAAGAGAGGTTACATAGATGGTAATCACTCATATCCATGGAAAATGTATAGGGGACAGAATACAATTTGGGCCAACAGAAACGGTGAACACAAAATGTGAGAGAGAGAGAAAAAGCAATTTTTTTTAAGAACCACAAAATTGTTGTCATGAAAGAGCTACAAGACTGTGATAAGGTCCTTTTCTATAGAGTACAGTATTTTTGTGACAGGAGAGGGAATATATGTTAATATGAGGGCTATCTGGAAAGTAACTTCAGGTGTGCTGTTAACAAAACAAGCAATGAGAAAAGAAAATTATTATAAAAAGTATATGTATATACTTAAGCTACTTCTCAAAATAGTCACCGCCAGAGTTGAGTCACTTGCCATATCAGGAAACACGCTTTTGTATTGATATGTCAAAGAAATCTGTCACCTGTGAGCTCGGCCACGTTTTGAGAACCTTCCATCAACTCTTCATTATTGTTGAAGCGCTGTGGTCTCAACCACTTCTTCAGGTAGGTAAACAGGTTGTAGTTGCTCAGAGCGAGATCAGGGCTATAAGGAGGGTGGTCAAACAACAACTCCCAGCTGAAATGCTTCAGCAGTGTTCGAGTGCGAGTAGCTGTATGTGGATGCACATTGTCATGGAGGAGCATATTGTCCCAGAAAACAGCTGCCATCAGCTTTCTGGCAGAGACGTTTACATAAACTTATTCAGTTTGTTTGGTGAATGTGTGTGCATCCACAGCTTTGACCACTCTTTGGTTTCAACATTCACAAATGAAACCCAGATTTCATCACCTGTTAGTCATATGATGTGACTGAGAAATTCACTGCCACCTTTGTGGTATCTCTCTAAAAAGTCAAAGTTGAAACCATTCCCTGCATTTTGTGTGCATCCGTGAGCATTTTCAGAGCCCATCTTGCGCAGAACTTGTGATAGCCTAGCCTAACTGTGATAATTTTGCAGATAACAGTGCATGAAACTTGTGGAAATTCACATGAAAGTAATGACATAGTGATACTGTGAAACGGTCTTTGACAGATTTTTTGGTCAACACTTCGAACAAGATCATCAACCACTACAGATGGCCGACTACTTCACCCATATGTGAACATTCTACAGCACTGTCTTATAGTTTCTTCACTCATTGCATTTTAACCATAAACTGTGCATAATTCATGATGGATTTCTGCAACACTCATGTTTTTAGTGTGAAGAAAGTGGATAACTGTGTGAATTTCCCAGCTGGAAGGACTATCAGTCACAAGACACATCATAGCTCACTCTGCAGAGACAAGAACAAATCCTAAATGACCAGTCATGTGATGATTTATAAGGCAATGAGTCAGATGACACTACCTCATATGTGTGAGGTTTCCCCCGCTCCTACATGAGTTGCCTAAAATAAACGAAGGTTACTTTCTGAATATCGTTTCATATATTTCTTTCTGCCATCTCAAGCACTGTTAATAAGGATAACTCTTCTTACTTGTAAGTGGTCCAGAGCAAGTTCTGCTTTATGAAGACTCTCCATGTCCTTCATCATACGTCGGAGATGCCGACGTGAATTCTTGTTTTGTCGATATGCATACCAGCAACCAATAAGTGCACCCAAGAGTAAAGTGACCAATACTAGATCTTTCATGTGATGACTGTAATCTGAAATGATTAATATTTTAATCAATGATTAACCTGGTAAGTAATGACAAATGTTTAATGATTTTAAGTTCTCACATCAGTGGTTATGAAGAGTTCTATCTTCTTGGATATAATGCCATGTAGCACACTGAAAACGAACCAATGTTTCTGGAGTAGTATGCTTTCTCCATCTCCAGAGTTGAAGGTAAGCCAAGCTACAAACAAGCATGAAGCAAGGAGTAAGCAAAGCTCTGTTTTTTTTTAATGCTAGTGGGGCGGGACTAAGTCCCTTGTACTGTGGCCACTTCTGGCCTAGTGTACCAGCCCCAGATGATAGGTCAGGGTGATTGTGGAGCAATTGGTGGAATGAAAAATGGCAGGGGAAACCGGAGTACTCAGAGAAAACCTGCCCCAGCGCCACTTTGTCCACCACAAATCCCACTTGACCAGACCCGGGATCGAACCCAGGTCACCGCGGTTTAAAGCCAGTGACTATCTGCTTGAGCTATGGTGCGGCCATAGCAAAGCTCTGCTTACTGTGACGTGTTCCTCCAAAACACTGATTTCTTCAGTGGACTATACAGTATTGTATCTCAAAAGACAGAACTCTTTGAATATCTAAAATCAATACAAAGTCTGTCGAGTGTAACAATGTTTTTTAGGTCACTTCTTTCTCACTCTTGCCTTACATAGAGTGAGAAAGAAGTGACCTAAAAAACATTGTTACACTCGACGGACTTTGTATTGATTTTATGTATAATAGTGTAACGGACCAAAATGAAACAATTCAAAATCTTTAACAAGTAATTTTCTGTGACATGTAGTTTACGTTGCGTTAGCATATATTGGTTTCANAATCTTTGAATATCTATTTATTTATTTATTTATTTATTTATTGTAAGCCATACAGACAACTATAATACATTTCTAACGTCTGAATGTAATATCTGTCAAATTTTCTAGCAGTCTTTGTACCTCTTCCATACTGTACTTCTGGTTTTCAAATAAATACAATGTATACAACACAAAAAGACATCAACATCCCACTACAAGACACCAACACTGCAGTCCCTCAACTTGTTCAGGTAGTAACCTTAATGTTACTTGAATGCTTAAACCAATCATCATGAAACTTGGCACATACATAGTGTGTCCAGATTAGTTAGGACTCTTTTTCTTTTTCTTTTTTCTTTTTTTTTTTCTTCTTCTTTTTTCTTTTTTTGCCCTGCAATGCCATCTTTTGGTGAGTTGTGGTGTTAAGATTCTTGAAGTTTCGGCTGTGGCTGTCTGTAATTTCAAAGCGCAAGCATCACTGCATCATGTGTTCTGACCTTGAATGTAACAGTACTGTTCTGACACTCGCTGAAAAATGGTGGTTGAACAGAGCCAACATCAAATTTTGTTTGAAGTTAGGCAAAACAGCTGGAGAAGCATATGAAATGATGAAACGTGTGTACAGTAGTGACTGTTTGAGTTGCTGGAACATTTTTCGATGGTATGCTGTATTTCGTGACGGCAGGGAGGACACTGAAGATACTCCACGTGCATCAAAACCAAGAACAAGTCGCACTGAAGAAAATGTGAAAAAAATGACTGAAATCCTTGCATCAGACAGATGTGTTTCTGCAAGACTCATCAAGGAGCTTTTGGGAATACCAAAAAGTACTGTACATAAAATTTTGACCAAGGATTTCGGCAAATGGAAGGTCTGTGTGCAGTTTCTACCGCACATGCTATCAGGCGATGAAAAACATGCCAGAGTGGAACACTGCAAAGACATATTACGGTCGGCCCAAAGTGATACAAAATTTACAAAATTGATTTGGCTGAGCCCAAAGAAGAAGCCGAAACCAAAGAAAGTGTGCACGCAAAAGAGTTGAGTAAAGACACTGATAACCGTTTTCTTTCATTCCAAAGGAATCATTCACAAGGAATTTCTGCCAGAAGGTCAAACAGTGAATTCTGATTATATCTCGAAGTCCTCAATCATTTGTTGGCGAGAATTCTTTGAATTCAACCTGAATATTGAGAGCAAGGTTCCTCGTTGCTCCACCACGACAATGCCCACCCCACAAATCAAAGATCGTGCGTGATTTTTTGGCCAGAAAAGGGATCACAGTCCTCGATCATCCTCCGTATTCGCCAGATTTGACTCCAGCAGATTTCTGGTTGTTCCCAAAAGTTAAGTTGGCAATGAAAGGAGACCCTCACGACACCATCCAGGACATCCAAAGGGAATCAACCGCAATTTTAAATACAATTCCACAAAAGGAGTAGTGACTGTTTTCGAAAACTTTTCAATCAATTCCAGCTATGTATTGATTCAGAAGACTATTTTGAATGAAAAGAGTGAAATTTTGAAAATAATTCACGTCTTGCATTTTTAATGAACACAGTCCTAACAGAACCTGGACACTCTGTGTACATCATATCAGCTAAAGCAATCCCAACAGTGTAGTTCATAAAGACCTCCCATCAATAATATCAACACTGCAGCTTCTCAAATTGTATTGTTTACTAACTTCAGTATGCATATATACTAAAGTTATTTTTGTTATATGAAATACTCAAATTGTAATGAAACGAAAGTAGGTGATCAGTTCTTCCTGTAACTTCTTGCTCATTTTGGTGTCACATTTGCCAAGGAAGCACTGTGTGAAATATTAAGACTATGGTGTTCAGGTATGAAATGCTGTGTACCTGGTAGATAGGTAACAATACTGCTGCCTCCATCTTCAGGGTAGGAGACCCATCTACCAAAATACATGGCATCACATCACTGAAGATTTAATAATTACTGCTGTGAGAACTTCAAACCCTAAACAATGTGTGAAATGTCGGTCACTCAGCCTAACTTCTCTCTAGTTTGTTAGTTAGTTAGTTAGTTATTGGAGAGGGTGGGTTTCCCCATGCACTTAGACCTGTATTGGTCCAGTGTGCTTCCCACTATGATTTCTACCAGTCTCTATATCCTACCGGTACTGGTGCTTACCATCAGTCCCGCCCAGCCAGCGAGACCGGCTCTACTAGCTGAGAGGTATCTATAATGCTTCCCACATCTACCAGAGGTATTAGAGACTGCTGTTGGGCGGGAAACGTCCGTAATTTGGCTCAGTGACCTCCTTTGGAGGTATGAGGTTCTTTTACGTACCGTAAAGCTACGACACAGGACCCATGGCTTAAAGTCCCTCCTGGAGGACTTGTTCCCTGAATTTTTCCGCCCTTAAAAATTCGACGACCTCCGCCGAGTATTTGAATCCGCGTACTACGAGTCATGAGGTGGGAACGTTACCTCTAGACTACGGAGCCGCTTAACTTCTCTCTAAATGCGATCTTTACTTTTGTTATGACCTCTTTTCTTTCACATCCACTTTTACATTTAATTTAGTAGTTTTCTTCCCCCTCAACTGACTGTACCTTTTGGTGGTCCAAACAGCACCACATCCATAGCCTTCAGGGCTATTTTCTGCTTATGAATTGGATCTTTGATTCCAAGGACGTTGTTCAAATAGTGCATGTTGTTTACTGCAAGCCTAGAGAAGGTGAGAAAATAACATTACAGGCCTGTTTTTAGGGCCGGCTTCTGGGTTGTGCAAATGAGTAGCAGGGCAGTAACTGCATCTGCACTGCCTAGAGAAGGGAGGGTGGGTGTCACACTATAAACAAGGCCCTATTATAACCCATAAACACCATATAATTCTTATCAGTTAATGGACCCAACCAAATCTATAACACAACATACTGAGAATGGTCAATCTAAAACAAGGACAGTATATCACTACCGTAAGTCTACCCTGAGGTATTATGATTTCTAATATCTCATTCAAAGACCAGACTTAAATATTAATTTGGAATGCCAACTCACTCCAGTTTCAATATCATAATACCAACCCTTCACATTTTTCACTTACTTGAAACCAACACAAGATTCAGCCACGAAAAAATAAAGGCCAAAATTAGAGCACTTAAAGTTAGCAATACAAAAAAAAAAGTATAGCTTTGGCATTTGGGAATAAGTCATGCAGAATGTTTTCCAAAATTCTGACAAACATTTCAGTTGCCATCTTCATGGTAATGGCTCTGGGGAGGTGAAGGCATAGCTGGATGAAACAGAGGAAGAGGTTCATCCAATCACGCTTTTGCCTCCCACACACCATGTTCACTGTCAGATATAAAAAATGGCTTCCAAACTCCACCAAGATATTATTCCTGCAAAATGGCAACTTAAATGTTTGCCAAAACACCGGAGAGCCTTAAAAATTCTACACAGCATACTACCAAAAATCAAAGTCATACTTAAAACTCCCACTGCAAAAATCTGATTCTTTATTATTGTTTTATTTAACTAGAATCAAGCAGAGAAAGAATGACAACAGATGACATGCATTCAAATTGGCTGCTTTCTCTTCCATTGCACTCTGATAACACACCTCCACTTTCTCAACTCCAATATTGAACCAAGACTACAAAGGCAGAGAAAGAACAACAACAAAAATATAAAGTGACAACTGGTGAAGGTGGGGGAGACATACAGTGGGGACATAGTTACTAGGAAGACATGTGGGGGTCAATCTATGTTCATTCTTTCCCTGACCCAACTTAGTTTTCACTTAAAAAGCAAAACCAACTGCATTTAGAGCCCAAAATACTTTTAGAAGATGAAATATGACCAGCAACCTTGGTAATGTTGCTCCAGTCACTCGATGCTGAATGAAATTTGGAATGTACTGTGGCAATTCCACATTCGTGGCCAACCATTCTGATGTCTGCTCAACAGTCCAATTGTGAACCTGGAAATACATAACATCCTACGTTCATACGATTCAATAAGACACAACCAGAAACAACAACAACAAAAAAGTTGTGGAAATGCTTCATCCTTCTAAGAATTATTACCTTTACATAATGTTCCTCAGGACAGCATGCAAGAAACACACATCAGTTGTTTAAACTTTCATGCTATTAAGTATATACTGATTATTTCTTCACTCATAACAAATATGGCACATCAAACACCACCCTCATTATACGTTATACAAAAACAGTGCAGCCTTGTGCTTGTATTTTACTTTCTTCTTGTTTCATCTGAGGTTCTCACAGTGGTGAAATGAAGAGTGAAATCTTCTGGGTTGTAATGTTGTGTACTGAGCTACAATGTACCACAACCCAGAAGATTTTACTCTTCATTCAACTTATTCTGTACTGCAACAAATCTGCATTGATTGTCAGTTGAGGTCTCGTACTCTGATCACAATATAGTACGAATTCTTCAACACAATGTCAGATTTTATAACACAGAAACTTTAACTGATGCTAGTAAAGAGGTTGGTCTAGAAGAAAATGCAGAGAAAACTAAGTATATGTATATGTTCAAATATTTGGAAATGACAGTAACAAATCAAAATATTATTGAGGAAATTAAGAGGAGATGGAAATCGGGTAATGCTTGCTACCATTCAGTCCAGAACTTTTGCCTTCACATCTGCTGTCAAAAACCATAAACATTAGTATATACAAAAGTATAAATTTGCCTGTGGTCTCATAGGAGTGTGAAACTTGGTCTCTAACATTAAGGGAAGAACATACACCACGGATGTTTGATAATAGGGTGCTGGGCATAATATTTGGACCTAACAGGGACAAAGTTAGAGAAGGTTGGAGAAAACTGCATAAAGAGAAGCTTCATAAAGTGTATGCTTCTCCAAGTATAATTAGAATGATCAAGTCAAGGAGGATGGGGAGACGAGGAATGCAAATAGGAAATTGGTGGGAAAGCCTGGAAGGAATGAGGCCACTGGGAAGACCAAGACGTAGGTGGGTGGACAATATTAAAATGGATCTTAGAGAGATAGGATGGGGTGGTATGGACTGGATTCATCTGGCTCAGGATATGGACCAGTGGAAGGCTCTATGGGAACACAGTAATGAACCTCCAGGTTCCATAAAATGTTGGTAAGTTCTTGAGTAGCTGTATGAATGGCACCTTCTTAAGAAAGGCTCAGTTCCATGAAGTTAGAAGTTAGTTACTAAATAATGCATAACAATTTTACATGAACAAAAACCTGTCACATAAATCTTATGTTTTGTTGTTTAAAATTACAGTAGGGAAGCAATAGGAGCATAATAATAATCTGGATAACAATTATCAGTTCATAAAGTGGTACGTTATCATAAGAAATACTAAATGCTAAAGCCACTGCACTTGAATTTAAGAAGGGTTTCTGGGTTAAGTTTCTATGAGATTGGAACTGGATTTTTAAATATTATTTACATGAACTTCAGGTTTCAAAAGGTTAATGACATTTAAGTAAATAACTGGTGTTTAATAAGAGAATCACACAAACATGTGAATACGCTGTTTGAACAAGATGCAGCATTTTTTATATTAAAGCAGGTGGTACACATAGCAACCACTGTGCCTTAAAAGTTAACCATACTTTTATACTTACATGAACTGCATATTAGTGTATGATATTAAGATAAAATTTTAAAAAACTTTAACATTTTACAGAATACATAGAATATTAACATTCAGTTAGATTTTTATTTTGTCAGTCAGTAAAATTTGCCACTACTTTTAAAACAAATAATGTAATCAACTTTATTTTTAAATTAAAAACGTGGTTTCAAGATGGAATAACGGTTCTTGTCTTTATGTAATTTATAACCACTGTGGCATACAACAATGTTATACCATCTTTCCTTCAAAAGGTACAATTACCAAAGGCCTTGAACTGTTTCTCCCATACTGCTGACATCTATAAAGCTTATAACATTTCACGGAAGCATCCTAAACCATGTTTACCTAAACCTTTAGACCCTGACAGATGATGCAGCTGGGATGTGCCTTCAGTAACTACATCTGGAACTAACCATTCCAAACAATACTGATGGGGGGCTTGCAGTAACTGTAAGTATTGTCTGTCTGTCTCTCTACCTATCTATTCCTCTTCTCCCAATTGAAGCACAGGGCATCTGTGAAACACTTTGTTTCACTACAGTTTCTTATTCTTAGACAGTTCGTAGGACTTCTCTTGATGGGGGATGAGTCCAACATAAGGCCGGTATTAGTGATGTTGCATTCACATTATTATATGTTAATCGTTTTTTTACAGGTGGCTAGGGCCAAATAACAATTTATATTCACCATGGGAATAACAATTGCAACAAAACGATCTAAATCTTTTGGGATGCCATGCCATGTAGTTGGGAGAGAGCCTGTTGTTTCAGTGGAACATATCATCTTCCATCTTCGGGTTTGAAGAGTAAGCCACACAAATAATCAGGAGCTCTGCTTGTTGAATGCTTCTGTCTAGTTTCTCCCTTGGCTCACTCTTAGACCGTGAAAGTAGAGGTTGTATGTTCCTCCGAAACGCTGAGCTATCTCTGCACTACATGGCGTTACGTCCCAGGAGACCATACACTTCACAGTCACCATAAGAACCTCAAATCCAAAAATCTAAAGGTACATAATTATACTAACACAAAATATTACAAGAAACCCAAAAATGTACAAAGTGATTCAGGAGGTGTCTGTCAAACTTTGTGGGTCCTTCCATCACTTGACTATGAATAAAAAGAATCCTGGTAAGATGGGTTCAATTAGAGTTCAAGGAGTCATGGCAGTTTTAAGGATAAAGATATTCCAGAAAAGAGTCAATAAAAAAAATAACAATAATTTCAATATAAAATTAAAATAAGATTACTTATTAAGGATATGGAAGGAAGGAGACCACTGGGAAGACCAAGGCATAGGTGGGCGGACAATATTAAAATGGATCTTAGAGATATAGGATGGGATGGCATTGATTGGATTGATCTGGCTCAGGATAGGGACCAGTGGAGGGCTCTTCCATAAAATGCTGGGAAATTCTTGAGTAGTTGCAAAATTGGCAGCTCCTCCAGAAGGGTTCAGCTCCATGAGTAAGTAAGTATTAAGGATGTGTGTTCAGAAAAGGAGCAAGCGGTAGCATAGTTGGTTGAGGCACTATGCTATAAGTCAGAAGGTCATGAGTTTGATTCCCGATGAGGTTATTGGATTCTTCAATTGACCTACTCCTTCCGGCCGCACTATGGCCTTGGGGCTGACTCAACCTCTAACAGAAATGATTACAAGAAATCTCCCTGCGAGTAAAGGGCAGTCAGTGATCAAGGCTGAAAACCTCACCACCATGTGTGAGCCAAGTGTCTAGAGAATGTGGGAGCCTCAACATCTCACAACCCTATGGACCTTCACAATCTGTTACTGGGATAGTTCTACCTTTTCATCTTACCTTAACTTTTATGTTTGAAAGCCATTCAGAATATATGCCTACAACTGTAATGTACATATGAGCACAATATATTATATATATATAATTAATGAACTGGTTGACAGTACTTAGCATTCAAGTTACAAGCAAAGATTTCAGTTTCTGTAACATATTTCATTTTGAAATAACATTTCATATGAGGTTTGAGGGTCTGGTGGGGGTGGATACGATGATTACTATCTCCAGGGATATGACATGATAGTCTGGCAGATATTTATTAAGGTTTTTGAAGACTCAGCCAGCTCCATCTTCAGTAAACATCTACTAGGTTACATAGTGTCACATCCAAGAAAAAAGTAATCTTCACCCTGAATAGGTCTGTGTGCTTACTAGAAGACATACAGGGCAAGTATTTATCTAATGTGATTGGATTCTAAGAAAAATGTTGGGATTGTACAAATCACTATTTCTTCTTAGAATCACAACAAGTAAGTCCACGTAGTTACAGCCTTGACTACAAATTCCCAGTCAATTATTTTACGATACTACAAAATGGCTCCAAGCTATACAGTCTGAACTACAAACAGTATCAATACATAAACCATATAGGTATAGAAAAGCAACAGTATGTAACTCACCAATGACAGCTACATACAAATACAAATTACATTTTACTTTGAAGTGATGAATTATGGCAGCCCAATTAAGTAAGGAAGATAACAAACATTATGTAATTAAGTTCTTAAAAGTGCAGCTCACTATTACTGGAACAGAATTAATTCCTGTTATGCTGGTGGTGTTCTATAAGTTATTTTAACACTTGCACTCCAGTAGCACAAAAAAAAAAGAATCATGTTCTTCAGCAAGTTTTGAAACACTGTCGCCTCACCTCAAGATGAATACCTGCTCTCAAGTGATGTTATGCAATGACAAGCAAAATTTTTACGGATCGTTACCTCATTATGCAACAGTCTTCAATTCCTGGCAGCAGGTAATAATAAAAGCACTGCTAAGCTCAAAGACATATCATTAGATTAAGAAAGGAGCCAGTGTTCTGAAATGCGAATGAGGCTTATTCAGTGATTCTAAGAGCTCGAACAGAAGATCCCAAAGAGTAAACAGCCTTCAGTCATTTGTAACAGTGCTAAGGTTAGTCTTCTGTGAAGGTAAGAAAGAATACTCTATTCATGAGAATATTAATTAAGAACAGACCACACAAAATAAAGAACACCTTTTAAGATCTGGAAATATTATAATAATTTGCTGGAAAATGAGGCATAATTTGTCCAAAGTGCAAATTAAAATGCTGTCTTATGACCAGAGTCATATAAAAGGTAAAGTTGTGCCTGTACTTAACTAATTAAGCACTACGCCATGAAGGAGTATGGGTGAAAGGATGTATAGATCCATATTTTCTTGACCTCAGCACTAGTTGGAGATGAGTGGTCTGCTTCATACACTGGCTGCTTTACCCCTGGGGAAAAAGCCCCCAGTACCCATTGGATAGGAGGCTGGGTGGGCCCCAGAGCCAGTATGGATGACGTGGAAAAGAGAAAATTTATGACCATACCAGGACTCAAACTCTGACCCCTCCATCATCCAGCCCATAGCCAGTCACTATACTGACTACACTATCCCAGCTCCCTGCTGGAGTCATATATGTTTAATATTTTAAAGTTTAAGTTTTTCATATACTTCTTAAGTGATTATGAGACCTTGTATTTTACAAAAAAGAATAATGTACTGAACACAAAATACAACTTTTGTCTGTAATATTTTTTACTGAAATGATGCTACATGAGATACTTCTCAGGATTGCTTTAAAATGAATACAGCTGTGTGTAAATAATAATTATTATCTAATTTTAACCCAAACTGTATGTGTTCAGAAGTTTTAATGGAAACCCCCATTCCCTCAGTTACCAAATTGTACACAAATCGAATAAGCACTGGAAAATAAAGTTTATAAAATTCCATTTCATTAACATTCACACAGTTTCTGGTCACTCTTTTAGAATTGTTTCAGTTTTACAGAGCTGATACATGAAGTCTCCAATGTCTATGATTTATTTCAACCGTCTTCCAGTGCATACACTCATTTACCTCACTCTTCTCTTTCGCACTACATGTTTCGGCACAAAAGTGCTTCAGGTGCTTATTCGATTTACGTTAAACTAGTTCACTGCATGCCTTGCCATCTTCATATTAAAATAACTAAAATATATATTTATCATATATATTGATAAATATTAAATATTAAAAATATTAAAATTGTTCAGGATTTTTCATCCCTACGTCGTGTCTCACTACGCGAGTCACATCTATCCTCTTCTGTCGGATCACTCTTTCTACTTTCGTGTGTGTATTGTGCTTCGTGTTGTGTCTTGCTCCTGTGACTGCGTGTGTTATACTGCTGGGCCTGCTGGGTCTACTTTCTCCCCATAATCTTTCCTGACTGACTTCTTGACAGGTCTTCTTTCCTTCTTTCTGTCTCGGAATAACTGGCAATACCATCTTGTTCTCGGTGATGATATGTGTCTCTTTCCTATAAATGTCACTTCTAATGCCCTTATCAGTATCCTTGTTCTGTTCGTTATTTTTACACCACCAAATCATTCTAGCCATTTCTTTTTTAGCTTTGTTAACAAATTTTGAATTCCAACTCTGCTAATAATTTCATTTCTGATGCTATCCCTCCTTGTTTTCCCCTCAATACTTCCCATAAATTTCATACCCACTGCCTAGATTTTCCTTCTGTTTCTCTTTCCAAGCATCCACATTCCAGCATTGTTTTGGAGTCTCTCTGTTCTTTTAAATGTCATAAAATTTATAAAGTTCTAAACGGTTCAAAGACTGACGCAGCTCCAGTTCAATTCATTTCATTTTTATCAGCATTTTTTGTATATATTTCTTCCACAAAATCATCACAGTACTGTTATACTGAGTACAATTTATTGATTTCAATACAGGTCTCATGTTTGATTACAACTGTTTAAGAGATATAATGGACTAGAACAATATTTCCTCAACACATTACTGTGCAGTATTTATATCTCTGATCAGTATAACAGCCATGAAGCAAACACAAAACTCACTGCGTCTTGAATATCATGTCATGTCAACAGACCATCAATTAATATGTCCCTGTACACATGTCAGTTTTAATGAACATAAATTGAGATTTGTGCTGACAGATGTACTCACAATTGCTCTTCTAGGGGCTACATTCTAACACTACAATAAAGTTCTACGCATACACATCAACTGCATATGGAAAACAAGAAGCTGAAGTGAAGAACTGGAATTCAGTCAATTTGATTAGATAAGTGGAGGGAAAAGATGATAACACATGCTCTAAAAGAAATCTGTACATGACCTATACATAAATTCGTGAGACCATATAAGTACTATGAAACATCTGAGGCTCTCATGACAGCATTCAGATAAATACGTCATTTACCAAAGAGACCATCATGTTTAAAGAATCTTGAACATACCTCTGACCGTATCCAAGCTTCCCACAACTCCCGAACTGAGATGTGCATATCATCATTACGATGAAATGCTTTTTGTCTTCGTTCATAGCCTTCTTCGTATTTAAGTTCTTCTCGTAGGAACTAGACAAAAAAATACCTTCTGGTACAAAACACAATATATCATGATTATACAACAAGAGATGTACAGAACATACAAAATTTATTTAACCTTTTGAAGCCTCAAATTTATGTAGATAATATTTATAAAGTCAGATCCTACCTTACAAAATCAAACAAGTATCTCCATTAAAAAGACCAATCAGTTAACACTGTTTATTGTGAGAATCATAAGAAACGCATAAATACAAGAATAAATGTAGTAGTTCCTAATGTTAAAGTAGGCGGTACAACTAGTAACCAATGGGCTTTCAAGGGTTAAGAACACTGCTGAAAATATCAAACTACATAACTATACAACACTATATGATGTGAATTCTATTAAGAACACTTAAAATTAGTAATGAAAGAAAAAAACCAACTTATTCTTCATTGGGGATCAAAAAATAAAGTCACATGCTCACTGGTGGCGGCCAAAATGCCAGCTGGGGACAGTTCCCACCAAGTGTTCAGAGTTCCCTTTTCAATTCGTGGCAATCTCACTTGATCACTTGTGGTGCAGTGGAAACACAGTATCACATCCAAAGAGGGTCAATGTAATTAATAAATCATAATAATTAATCTCTCTTCTAAATTCAGTTTTCTGACATTATCTTATGCATGGCCTGAGGCTATTCATGACATACAGTACAGCACTTCTGACACCAGCTGTCACATGATTTAGTGTGACTATAAGGGTTTTGGGATTGATGAGTGCATTTATTGCACATTTTAATACAGTGCATGACTAACCCTTGCAGGTCACTATTACACACACACACACATTAGTGTCCACAGTCATTCCTTCAGTGTCATCGCCTGGCAGTGGCTTCCAACAGTGGATGTTCCCTTTCCTTTGGGTTACCCAACTTTCCCCAGCCTCAGCTACCAGTTTCTCACAGCAATGGTTCACTATGACTGTACCGCGACAGTCCTCTTAACTTACTGACTAACTGGCCTTGCTGGTAACAATCTGCATGGACTGTGCAGAAAACACCATTCATCTGTTGTTGTTTATGGGCCGCTGCCTAGTAATGGCTGGCTATTGTGACTCCATAATTCTTGCTTCGAGCGAATATGCCATATTATGAATGTTGTGCACCAAGCAGAGGCAAGAGTCACAGCAAGACACCAGAGAACACCAGCGCACCTTTCTATGGCGACCAAACAATGTCTCAATAACAATTTTTTTAAAAAAAGCCTTTCACCCCCCCCCACCTCTTAAAACTATTTACTCTTGCACTTGATAAATTAATAGACTTCCATGTCATTTGTTTATTTATTTAATTTGACAATACTGTCAGTACCTCAGACTACACAATATCAAATGGCAAGATGATTAATGAATGATGATATGGAGGAAATGTAGAAGGAAGTGACTGTGGCCTATTTCAAGGGACCATTCCAGCATTTGCCTGTAAGTAAACAACAAAATCCTACATCAGGATAACTGGTGTTCCTCACAAGATTAAAAATGGGCACCTTCTGAACACAAGGCAGAAGCCAACAAGAATATCGCTGAATGCAACTGCACACTACATGGTTTCTTCCACATTCTGAAGATAAACATTTACATCAACTGTCACATGAGGCAAGCAATCAGCTTCAAGATCTACTACAAAAGTGTGTTGAGAGAGATCAAAGAAATGTGCGTACACCTCTCCGGTCTACCGTAACGTACTGACTGAATCTCCTGAACTTCAAAAACATGTACTTTCAAGTATACAGCAGTACACAATGAACTTAACTTCAAGGGTGGCTGAACACAAAGCAGATGAAGGAGACATGACAAATGCCCTCAGCTAATATCTAATTATGCAAAGGAGACATGCATGGCCAGACATAAGCATCGTACTCACAAAACATGCTAAGAAAGTAATGGCTTTGTATAACATACACTAAAACATGTTATAGAAATGCAAATTCATTAAAAATAAATGGATCTGAGCAGGTTGGCTAAACAGGAATGATCTGGGCTCATATTCAGGAGGTGGTCAGTTTGAATCTCAGCTGGGACAACAGCTATCATGAGGTTTTCATAGTCTGCCTCAGTCTGTCTAGGCAAATACCATGGTAATACCTCAATTAAGCCATGACCACTTCTTTGCAAATCCTTTCAAATTCATCTACCATTGATCCATCTGACGGTATATAATCTGGCTACTAAAAGCATCACTGAGTAATGAGAAAATGAACTGAAATTAATATTAATTTATTCCATTTACAATGTACCCCATGGCTACACCCTACAATTCTGAAAGAAATTCCTACAGATCATATACACTGGGTGTCTGGATGAAAGGTATCCAAAATAAAAAATGTATATCTCAGAAACTAATTGTTATACATATATCTGGTTTATGTCATCACAAAGGAAAACTGTGAAAGTTTTTTTTTATGCTTGGCTTATGCACAAGCACCGCTACATTTCTGCCACCATGTTAGGAATCACTTGGACAGAGTGATGGCTGGGAGACAGATCGGCAGAAGTGGATCAATCGCTTGGCCTCCTAGGTCACCAGATTTAACCCCACCGAATTTTTTCTTATAGGGTTATGTGAAGAACATTGTCTGCCAGGTTAAGATCAACAACCTGTAACACCTGAAAGCCTGCATCAGTGACGGTGTGGCTATGGTAACAACAAACATGCTCCAAGCAACGTGGAACAAGGTTAAATATCATCTGGATATTTGTCATGCCACCAAGGGAGCCCACAATGAAATTTACTGAGAAAGTTATATACTCCCTTTGTAGTTGTGTAACCCATAAATGTGTATAATAAAAGCTTTCTGGGATTTAATCATTTTATTTTGCATGCCTTTCATCTGGACACCCTGTATATATGTTTATCTGTCATGGTCAAATGATAATGACAACATTCTGTACTACATATTTATCATACTTATCATATCAATTCTAACCAAAGAGAATTGTGTGAAGTTCACCTTTCCTCAGAAGCTCTCATTACATTAAATTAACAAAGTACTTCTTGCCTACAAAAAGAGAAAGTAGGCTTACAAGGACATCACACTACATGTGCATGTGTGTCTGTCTGTCTATACATGCGACTCCCACTTCAGTGTATAATGTAGAAACGCTATCCACTCAATGCCACTACCCGGCCCCTTCTTTGAAGAAAGTAAAGGCCCACTGTGGTTTCCAGGACATTTATTTTATTTATTTGAGATTTATTTGATGACGCTGTCCAAATATACAACTACAGACAGTCTTGACATAAAGATAGCTAACAGGTCCTTAGAAAATGTGGCACAATTCAGATATTTGGGAATGACACTAACATATCATAATTTGCTCCAGGAGTAAATTAAAGAGGAGATTGAATTTGGGTAATGCTTGCTACCATTCAGTCCAGAACCTTTTGTCTTCTCGTCTGCTGTCCAAAAACATAAAAATTAGAATATACAAAACTATAATTTTGTCTGTGGTTCTGTATGGGTGTGAAACTTGGTCTCTGACATTAAGGGAAGAACATAGACTGAGGTGAGAACAGGGTGTTGAGGAGAATATTTGTACCTAAGAAAGAAGAAGTGATGGGAGGCTGGAGAAAAATGCATAATGAGGAGCTTCATAATTTGTACTCTTCACAAAGTATAATTAGAATGATCAAGTCAAGGAAGATGAGATGGGCAGCACATGTCACATGAATGGGGGTGAAGAGAAATGCATACAGGATATAAGTTGAGTGGCTACACAATTGGAATCTTTTCAAAAGGGGCTCAGCTCCATGAGTGAGTGAGTCAAACAGTAGGATGATTGATGAACAAAGACTATGAAAGAAAATGGCTGCAGCCTGACTAAGGTAATAAATATCCTGGAATTTTCATGGAGGGGCTCAGGAAAACCAAAAAAAAACCCTCAGCCAGGACCTGTCGTGACACAGTTGAGACTATGAACCTGATCACATGACAGTTCATTAGGCATCTCCACTCTGTATTTCTTTAAAATCCACTTTAATATTATGCCGTCCTCCTGCCTCTTCCTGGGCTATATAAAAATGTGTGTTATGACAAGGTAAGTAGCAGGTGTCTCAAAACAATCTAGGTTATAAGCCCTCCAAATGATTGCAGTTAATTAGTACTCTAGTACTACCATATCATGATCATGACAAATCATAAGAGATTAAGTGCGATAAATCAGAACTAGACTGATAACAGCATTCATCTCAGAGGTAGCCCATCATAACACCATTTCATTAAATGTCAACTATCATGAATCATGTGTGCCACTAGATTCTTTGTAAGGCAGGGTAGTGGGTGACAAGAAAATGTGCTCTGAAACTTATTTTAAGGCAAATTTTACAGTTCGTCTCATAGTGGGAGTCTCAAACTTTGTTATACATGAATTTATGATGACCCCCGCACCCCCACCACTATGCCAGTCAACAAAAAGTATAGTTCTGCACATTGTCTTTGGTACCCAACAAAGTCATATGGTGAGGGCAGGAACCTAAATAGATTTACAATCACTCTACACTGACAGTAAACTATAAAAATGTTCCTGTACAACCATAAAAGGTGTACTTCTCTAAACCAAAGACAAAGTTACTTTGTGACTGGCTGTTTACTGCCAATCAGTGTGTTTTGGGGCCAAGCCCTTTGAGGATAACAAGCAGAGTTTCTTTTTTTAAATGAATCCTTGCAGTCACAGTCCTTGCATAATATCCTCTTTAATGAGAGGATGGGGGTTGTCTCTTAAGAAGAGGCTCAGTTCTGCAAAACTCTTTAGAGCCTAAACAGCTTTCTAACCTTTCTACACCTGTACTAAACTATAAAATGTTTGTGTACAATAATGAAAACATTTGAAAAATGTTTTTCCAGCTGTAGCTACATTTTTAAAAAAGCACCTATATTAAACCTTACTGGACTTCCGAAAATTGTGCACCAAAACAACCTAAGTAAAAAAAAAATAAAAAGTAAAGGTCTCCCTGTAACAGGCCATGGAGTCCCATAGGGTTGTGAGATGTCGAGGCTCCCACATTTTCTAGACAATTGGCTCCAAGATGGCGGTAAGGTTGTCAGCCTTATGTGCCAGCCGCCCTTTAATACCAGGAATATTCCTGGTACTCATTTCTGTTAGAGGCTGAGTCAACCCCAGGGCCACAGTGCGGCTGGAAGGATTAGGTAAATTGAAGAAAATACACCTCATCGGGATTTGATCATGTGACCTTCCGGCTTGTAGCATAGTGCCTCAACCAACTATGCTACCACATACCCCTTGTTGAAACAACCTACTCTGAATAATTCTTCAGAATTCATTGACTCCCCTTAGTGTCTGGAGAGCTGCAATCCCAGTCATGTCTTACAACAGTTAGGATATAAAAATCAAATGCTTTTAATTTTAGTATTATTATTTAGTAGTCTAGGGAGAACGTTCCCACCTCATGACTCAAGGTATGTNACGCACCAGTATCGGTAGGGTATAGAGACTGGTAGAATATCACAGAGGGGACATACAATAGACCACTGGTCGTGGTGCATGGGGAAACCCACCCCTCCAATAATAATAATAATAATAATAATAATAATAATAGTATACATCCTTCTATTTTTCAATCTTGAATTTTTCCACAAATTCAAGGGGAAGGGACAGATGTATGGTTTCCCATCTTGCTGCAACTACCAGCAGTGACCTTCTATTCAGATGTGAAGAACATCACATTTGCATTTTTAAGTTCTCAGTACAAATAATCAAACTGAATATAAAACAAACAAGATATAAAGAAAGTACTTCAAATTTTTAATCTATTTATTCTAACTTCACATCCAACTGCAAGATAAGCTTCTAGGCCACATATGTCCAGATATCTACAATACATAATAATGTACCTGTTCTGTTTCCTGTTTCCTACCACGAACATAATTTAGAATTTCTAAATATATTTTTTTTTAATTTAAGCTGTGCTCCTATCAATACATATGGCAACCATGGCTATTAAAATCATGTTCTAGTGCTGCATCACTCCAGCACCTTGGCGATCTGAGCTAAAGGAGCTCTGGTTAAGGAGAGATTTTGGTAGGAACTTGGCTTGCCAGATAAGGCCAGAAGAGTGGACACTGGGTCTTCGGCTTTCTGAAGAAACTCTCCAAGGCGGGCTTGGCTGCTGTGTTTCCTTTTCTCCTTATTACTTCTTTGTAACCAGTAAGATATACTGGCACTCTACTGAATACTGTTACCCTTTCAATGTTAGGGTCAGTGGTATCCAGCACTAACATGCTGCATGTTCTGGCATAAGTCCAAGAATTGGAACTGTGCGTCTAATGGGTGTTACATTAATGGGATCATAAGTCTGGAAATTTGGAAGTTAAAAGTCATAGTAGATTCTAAAGTGTTCTAAGGATGGTGTATAACATTCAGAATTACTCGGTTTTTGGACTTTGTCCATTGTCCGATATTCTGAAAACCTGAAAATGCAATTTTTCTGAAACTGGGCCTGTTTCTGTCCTCAGATGTGACGCGTGATTCATTTGGGAAAATGGAAATACATAGACATTTTGACATTAGTCCCTCAATCTGCTGTTCAAGTGGTTAGTCGCTGGCTTCCCACTGTGGTGGCCTGGGTTCGATCCCGGGTCTGGTCAACTGGGATTTGTGGTTGACAAAGTGGCGCTGGGGCGGGTTTTCTCCAAGTACTTCGGTTTCCCCTGCCAATCTTCATTCCACCAAATTCTCCATCATCATAATCACCCGGGGCAGGTACAATAGGCCAAACAGTGGCTGCTGTGCCGAGTGGACCCAACTGGACTCCACCCCCACTAAACGAAGCGAATATGTACCACCTGCTTTAACATTAACAAATTCTACATTTCATTACACACAATTAACTGATTGGTCTTTGTAGCGGGGATGCAGTGTATTTCTGTCGTGTATGAACCACATTTTTACATGTCATTCATGTAGACGAATTGCAAGTTTAGAAGTAGTTAAGCTTGGAGTAACACTTAACTTCAAGGAAGACAAAAGTCATTAAATTCATATGAGTTCAGTTTGTTCATGGACATATCGTATTTCTCATACATTTTCACTATCTGATATGCTTTACTTCAGTTCTCATAACATGTTTTGAATGTACTTACCAAATTATGAACACTCAGATGAAACCTACACACACATGCACAGCAACAGCAAATGACAGCCAAATCTGTCTAGTGACATTTTCTCTGTATTTCACCCTATTAGTACTAGTAATGTTGATAAGAAAATCCATGCAAACATAATAGATCTATCCAATCTATTTACCTCATCTGATTCTGAGAGATCAACATTGCCATTTGCATCATCATCCAGTTGTCGGTGGAGGGACTTTATAGCTTCTAGACCAATCCGATCTTGTGAGGCAAGCGCCAAGCATGCAGCATCATCATGGCAACTATCTCCAATACCTTGTAATGAAGAACAGGGTATGCTACACGATGATGGCTAATATAGAAAACTATTGCATTATATGCTTTTATGAAAACTGATGTAATATCATGAAACAGTCTTCTAAATGGGCTAGCAGTTAAACTTAATATACAAGTTATAACAACATCCAAGCTTTACCTCCATCATAATGAACTGATGACTGAGTCACTATATCCCCTGGAGCTGAATAAGAGTTTGATCTTGACACACTTTTACTGTTAGAATATGAAGACTTGAGAGTGCTCTCTTCTTGAAAATTTTCAGTATCACTATTTCCATTACACCAATAAGTTGTGAGAAGGGATAAAATTATAACAGCCTGTAAAAATGTGTTCATTGTACCAGCAATGACACGATGTATAAAAACTTTCTATATTATTTATAGTATTTACTAACGAAGAATAACACTCCCTTCTTGTAAATTCATTCCTCTTCTTTGGCACTGAAGCAATTTTTGTTAATATCAGTGATTAAATACCACGTTCTGTGTAAAATTAAAATAACCTTACAAACAGCTTCAACTTCAAGGTTGATGGATGCTCGCAACCCTCGCAACCGCGATCATAGAGTAGTAATTCCGAATGGGCGAATTAGAAAGTAGCTCTATTTAGATATATGTCTAGCGAACTGATTTATATTGTTGCAGTCGGTATATAAACAGTCCTCCACAGCTGTATATCAGACGCAACAATGTTCTCGCTTCTACATCACACAAATATTAACCGCATTATCTTTACCCAACTGTTTCTACAAATGACAACCTAAATTACGTAATATAATCTCGTCATAACTTTCTAAAAGTTTTCCCATACCCTCAACATTTATTTCTTGAAGTTGGTACTGATCATGACATACTATATTTATACAGCATTTCGAATATAGCAATGAATAGAGAAACAGAGGATGCCATGAGGCGGGTTAAGTAAAATGTAAAAAAAAAAGGGAAGGTGTCCCGGCAGCAGGCCGCGTATGGTGCTTGCATGTGTATGTTGTGAACGTTACAGAATACGAATGTGAAAGTGCATGGCGGATTATATGTAGGCGAAATGTTACGCAGAAGGAATTCTCTAAGAATATTAATCTTTATAAGAAAAATCCACTTGTACAAACAGTAATTCATATGAGCATACGTAGATAGCCGGCTTGTATATAGCATAAACGTAGAATTTTGCTAACATCTGCAACAGCCTATCCTCCGAATCTATCTAATAAACCTGGCCACCCAAGTATTTCCAGAGAATGCCCTCAGTATATGTTTGGCTTTAGGTTCTCACAGCCGTGATCATAAAGAGTATCGCCTTGTGGATGTGATGGTATGTGGTCTAGTATAAGTTCAACATTTCGGAGAATTTATTGCCTCTATCTTCAGGGTCAAAGGCTAAGCCAAGCAGATAAGAAGCAAGAAGCGGGTAGCTCAGCTTCCTCACTTTGACCGAGAAGATGGAGGCAGTATGTTCCAACAAAATGTCTGTGAACTTTTGTCAGACTACACAGTGACACATCTCAAAAGACAGTATTTTTTTAATTGAGGACATTTTGTGATAATGATAATTTCTTTAACATCCATAACTGTTACACAGGCACAGTTGGACAAGTCAGTTGAAAACAGCCAAACTCTACATATCAGCAACTCCTAAATGTTCAAAACAATATAGAAGACAATGTACAATACAATCCCTTTTTAATCAATATTCCCCTGCCATGGAATACTAACCATGGATGACAACTCTCAGCAGTTCCACATAAAGCAATAAACATACTTANCCTCCTGCAGTTATGACCTAAAGTCGTGAAACACCCTGTATAGTACTTCGTAACTTATCAAAACTAACTCAAATTACTGAACTACCGTCTGTCAATTGTTATTAAAAAACTCTTGCAGAGAATAAAGACAATTTTGTAATAAATAACTTTTGAATTTATTTTTAAAAACCTTAACATTTCCTCTTCTCTTTAATTCAGAGGATATGTTATGTATTTTTATTCCCATTTTAATTACACTTTTCTTACAGCGAGCAGTGTTACATAAATGGACATACAAATACTGTTTCCCTTTTGTGTTATACTCATGAATATCAGAATACTGAGTCTTATAGATCTTATTGTTTTTTATAAATCACAAGCTCTCATGTATAATGAAGTTACAGTTAAAATCTTAAAATTACCAAACAAACATGTTCTTAACTCCTATAATAAGTGTTAGACCGTTTCTCTGTATTTTAAATACTGCATTACTGTCATTTTCCCCCCCCCCCCACAAATATATTGCCATATTTTAGTAGATTTAAATTTTGTAAAATAAACATTTCTTAATACAGGTATACTTACCGAACTATAATTTTGCCTGTGGCTCTCTATGGGTTTGAAACTTGGTCTCTGACATTAAGGGAGGAACATAGACTGAGAGTGTTTGAGAACACGGCATTGAGAATATTTGGACCAAAGAGAGATGAAGTGACAGGAGGTTGGAGAAAACTATATAATGAGGAGCTTCATAACTTGTACTCTTGTCTAAGTATAATTAGAATGATCAAGTCAAGGAGGATGAGGTTGGCAGGTCATGTAGCACGAATGGGGGAGGCAAGGAATGTTTATAGGATATTGGTGGTAAAGCCAGAAGGAAAGAGACCACAGGGAAGACTAAGGCGTTAGTGGGTGGACAATATTACAAGTAGAATGGATCTTAGAGAGATAGGATGGGATGGTATGGATTGGATAGATCTGGCTCAGGATAGGGACTAGTGGAGGGCTCTTGTGAACACGGTAATGAACCTTTGGGTTCCATAAAATGCTGGGAAATTCTTCAGTAGCTGCAGAATTGGCGGCTCCTCCAGAAGGGCTCAGGTCCATGAGTAAGGTATACTTACCGAGTTTTGTAAGGATTTAATCAAAGAGCTTTGTTTAACATAAATAAGGTAAATATGGACAAAACAACCTGAAAATGGTGCAATCAGTCTCTTGTAGTAGCTCCTTGGCCTTTCAATGTGCCCACAAATGTTGTTTCTATAAATACACATGGATTAAAGATTGAAAGTTGTGAGGTAGAAAAAAAATATTTTTCTTACCTTTATTTGTTATTATAATGAAAATAGAAATTATTGGTCCACTGGAAACATATCTCCTGAGTTACATAAAAATAAATTAACACATTACATACAACATGTAGTGTGCAAGTGTAAATTCTATCTATGCATTTCAAACAGTTTCCTAAAAGTGTTAATACAATTCATCTCAGTTCATTATAACTTGATATATGTTATACTCAATATATTATAATTGTATCAAAATATAAATAACCCTTAGGTTTTGTTTCCCTTTACACCAGACCTGCATCATCTCCACAAACTCCTGACTGCTATATGTGCTGATGGCTTTACTTGTTCTATTTTCTTTAACAAAATCTGTAAGAAAAAACACAGAACAATTAATACATTAAATATGTATGATTATTAGAAACTCAAGAAGTAGTTGAAATTACAACATTCTTGTAGTGTGATAGGAAGGTACCAACATTTCAGAGGAACATGTCACTCCTCAACACTGACAGTGGAGGCAACAGGTTCCTCCAAAACATGGCACCTATTTGCAGTGTACACAGCACAACATTTCAGATTATAATCTTAAAATATCTCCTTTAGAACTATACATTATATTCTACAAATTGGTATTTATTAAACTGCTTGTTGTGTACTACAAGGTTCCTTATTGTCAGTCTCCATGGCCCCATCCAACATGTTGGCTCTAAAAGTAACACTTCTGACTTGTATAAGAGAAATGTGTGGATGGTACAGCAGCTATCTTGACTGAAGTGTTTTGTGGCTTTCCCCAGCCCCTCCAGCAAATGCTGCGAAAGTACCTCAAATTACACCACAACCACTTTCCTACGTATCCTTATCAATTCTTCATTCACCATCAGCCCGTGATTCAATACTACAAACTTAGCTCCTGGTAGCATTGTCAAATAAACCATAAAAAAAGTAAAAACATCCCTGTAACAGGCCGTGGAGGCCCATTGGGTTGTGAGATGTTGAGGTTCCCACAATTTCTAGACAGTCGGCTCATAGATGGCGGTGGGGCTGTTAGCCTTATGCGCTGGCCGCCCTTTACCCCCAAGAATATTCCTCGTACTCATTTCTGTTGGAGGCTGAGTCGACTCCAGGGCCATAGTCCAACTGGAAGGATTAGGTAAATTGAAAAAATCCACCTCATCGGGATTTGATGCCACAACCTTCCAGCTTCTAGCATAGTGCCTAAACCAACTACGCTACCGCATACCCCAAATAAACCATAAGTAAATAAAAAAATAATTTCTATTTAAAACAAGATTACTTTTTCAACTGAATAAATTTCTTCCCATTTTTATAATTTTATTGCAGTTAACTATATAAGTAAGAGTTCAGGGCACTTACCATGTTATCATGATCAATTCTTGTTTGTTCCTTCCTCCTGTTTACTGCTGAACTTGGCAACTTGGGCTGACTTATAGGTGGAGATGGTTGTTTAGGTCGTGGTCTGCGAAGAACTTGAAGTTTCCTTAGCAATATCTCATTTTCTCTTTCAATTTTCCAGTACTGTTCATTAGAAAATGACATATTTTTCCTTCCCAGTCTGTTCCTCTGACCAATAGATATGTTTGATGTTAATGACTTCCTCTTCTGCTTATCAAAACTGTCCAATGCATTCACAAGAAATTTCATTGATGTTCCTAATGAAACATCTGCAGGTTTGTCATGTTTCTGTTGCTTTCTTTCATCATCCTTATGATGTTTATCTGGTAGATGCTCCTCAGGTTCATGTTTAGGCATGGAAGAGCAACCACTAGAAGAAGAGCGTGTAGTGACATCAGTTATCTCAGAGGTAGTGTCAGTGCTTAAAGAAAGGAAATCAGAGGAACGTGAATGCACTTTGGTAACAACATGATCATCATCATCATCATCATCATCATCTTCATCGCCATCATTATTTTTGCTCTCACCATAGGCTATGCAGTTCATTAAACCTCGTAGATTCATACAGTCATCTTCCTTGGAACTTAAAGTTTCTTCCTTCAAATTTCTTTTAACCCTTAAATTATCTGCAGAATCAAGCTGTACTGAAGAATGTGATTCATTTTTCACATCTGTGACTTTAACAGTGCAGATGTTTTCATTCTTGGAATTTTTACTATCACAGAAAGGGTTCAATTTCAAACTCTTTTCATCCTTTTCTTTGCCTGCTATTATAATATTATTTTTATCATCATCAGGTCCTTCAGTAACAGTACTATCACCAGAACCAAAGAAATTATAATCAATGTCCTCACATAGCCCAATATCTACATGAACTACTGATCCATTTACAACTTGTCTGAATACATGTGAACCAATATTCCTGGACATTATGCTTCACAACTATTTCCTTTAGTAATGTAATGTGATCTGTTATCTTTGAGTTATGACACAACCACTAACACAAGTTATAACATTAACAAAATATAATGGAAAACAAGACTACAAAGTATAACTGTTAAAACATTACATATATAAAGCTTAATAAAAGATAATACAAATGGTTTTCAAAATCCATGACTTACTGTTCATGGTTGCTAGGCAACAGTTGTTTATTTAATACCAATTTCCACAGCCTTCTTTACAAATGTCTAAACATACTCCCTTTCATTCCTAAAGTGATGGACTGTTGGCTGCCCTATATGGTATTGATTTAATACAAGGTCACTCCCCCTTCCCCAGCAATGCAGCCTATGGAAGCTACTAGACTAGCTAAAAAATTAATAAACTTCTTATGGAAGTCTGTGACTCAGAAATAGCCTGCAAATATTTTTATCTCTAACCTACTCAGTTTTCTCAAAAAGAAACAAGATTAACTGCATTCTATATTCCATTCCCACAGTTATTGAACCTTCACACACTAAAAAGAACACTGCATTGTTCTGCATGTGACAGCTAACAAGATAACTGATTAAACTAATTCCATGCAGCAGAATCCTTCTTAAGAAGCTAATGGTTTCTCATCTTGCCCAAATATTCCCACCATTTTATGGTGCCTGAAGGTTCACTACTGTGTTCATAACAGCCTGCCACTGCTTCCTCCCCTGAGCCAGATGAATCCAGTTCACACACTCCCATCCTATTACTTCAGGACCCATTTTAAGATCATCCTGCATCTATGCCTAGGACTAGATGATCTCTTTCTTTCAAGTTCAAAAGATAAGGAAAAACATAACTGTTACCTATCTCACTCTTGTTCTTAGTTCATAATGACTGTTTAAAAGAGATTCCAGAGCCCACAGTAAGAGGGCCTTCACAAAATAAGAACAGATTTATTATTTTTCTTACCAAAATGCATGCTATGAATTCATACATTCTCTGCAAGTCATGTGGTGGAAATATGACCCATCTGAAATTTAGGGAGCAACTGGTTAGGGATCCCGTTGTTCTCTCCCACAAAGAGAATACTGAAATCTGTGGTGTGCCAAGGGGTCGGCCCAGCAGTTCGGAGACTCAATTGAGCCGACTTGAAGTAAAGGACATAAATATGGGACAATAATACAATGTTTACACTGAACTTGGGCTGGAAAGAAACAAAAAAATATTCACCAAGATTTCAACAAATGTGGCAACACTAAATCAGGACCTCACTGAAAATGTTTCTGAAAACATAAAGTGAGAATTGAAAACACAAAGAGTTATAGGAATAACAAACTTATACAAAAATATCTGGGGAATTTATAGGGAAAATCTTATTTTCAGATTAATATAAAAATAAGATTTTTACAAATAGTGTTGGGGAGTTAAATGAATAACTAATTAAGTTTTATTGGAAAATGTATTTAAATTATTCAGTTACCTTACATTAACTCTGCTTTTCATAATATGTACAGAAGAATTCCCAACACTATGTAATATAAAAAATAAGGATGACAAAGAAGAATTCCGTCTTCTGGGATGTGGTGCCGTGTAGATCTTGTGTAAACCAATGTTTCGGAGGAACGTCAATTTACACAAGAGCTACACAGTGCCACATCCCAGAAGACAACAATCTTCATAGTCACCGCTGTGAAAACCTCAAATCTTACAAAGGATGACAAAATTTACAAACATATTTACAAAGACAGTAACACATTCACTGCCAGTCCTGTCACTTGATGGACTGAAGTTTATTGCGTGCCAGCGCTAATTGTGTTAAGTGATGGACCATTGTCACTGTGTATATAAACACCATTTTCTCTTACAGATGCCACTCAAATGCAGAGAAACTTTAAATGAACCTTGTTGAATCTCAAAATACTACAGACCACTGTTTTTCACATGTTCTCTCATGTTTATATTCTGAATGTAGTTAAGTTCAAAATTGAATTTCTTGGAATAATGGCTGGCTCAGCAAATAAAATTCCAGTATGGTAGCATGGCAATAAGTGTGGTGTGAATGGAGAGAGCTCTCAACAATAAGTGTCTACAATATGATATTAAGCAGTTTAAATAACAATTTGTTGCACTTAGGTTTTGAATGTCACAGATGAATGATTATAAAACTTAGCAACAAATGCCATTCCTTTTGCATCTGATGCAACAGAGAATCCAGTTTTAAATAAATTTCATCATCACACTTAATCCAAATTGCTTGCAAAGGATCATGTCTTGAACAAAATAATTTACAAGTTAAAATTTATTAGAATTTTTCTATCTGGTATAACTGCATTTTACATGCAATTTACAAGTGAAGTCGAGAAAACTTGCCTTCTTCAATGAACATAATAATATCAGATTGTAGACAGTATATACATATCTCTAAACTCCTTTATATATCTATATGTATGTACATTTTAAAATTTGGATTGCTAACCAATCTAAAATATCTTTCATTATACAACTGAGCACCTGAACCACTGTAATTTACGGTTCTATCACAAAGGCAAAGGATTAACTGATCTATCAAGATTATAAATAAATAAAATCAAGTACAAATGCATTTGCAATCAATTCACATGGCATCAAGTTTATTTTAATCAATGGGTTCAACGCACAAACCCCTTAATTTCTGTCAAAGGCATCTCTGTATTGAAATACAGCTCAAAATCTGTATTATTTAAGACCACTGATAGGCAAACCTGTCTGTAATTTGCAAGAGTACTGTGTATAGTTTCTGGCTATAATTGTGCAGGGCATAATGGAGACACATCAGGTATGCAAGATTACAGTCTTCTGGGATATTACGCCATGTATTTTTGTAGATGGGAACAATATTTCAGAGGAACCTGCTTCCTTCATCTTGAAAGTAAAACAAGAGAACCTACTATGAAGGTGGGGACAACAGACTCCTGTAAAATGTTGGCACCCAAGCCCACAATCCTGATACTATCATGAGTACTATGCATGTCACATTGCGTAAACCTGCCTGTAGCTGTCATTTCTCTTTCTGTATCTCCATGAAGCAGAGATGTTACTGAGCAATTAATAATGATTCAGCTTCTAATTCATAAGTTCTTATAATACTTTAAGTAAATTAAGTTGTCAAGAGATGAAGTTAGATTTCAAAATTTGTTGAGTTAGAAAAGAGACAATGATTTGGCTATGCAAGAGGGCTAGATAGAAGGACACCAAGACAGTTTGGCTAGGTACTGGAAGACATCAAGAAGACAGGAAAGAGCAAAGAAAAGACTGTAGGAAGAAAAAAGAGATTGGTGACTTCTGCCATCCATCAAACTATATAAAATGGAAATTATGGTATAAGAAGAATGAACTTTAAGCTGCAAGAAGAGCGGGCCACTGAAACCAGCACTTTAATTTTAAAACAGTTTTCATTCTGATATTTTCACAGCCATTCAGTAAAATGTAAGAAATTAAGAGATCAAGATTCTTTCCAAGGTATGATTCTTACAGGGGTAAAAAGTGTGAAAATATACATTTTACAGTAACAGATGAGTAAAAAAACTACAATTTATACAAGATGTGCAATAAGGTATATAAATGAAGTCATAATTTTATACACAGTGTAGTCGGATAATAAGTGACACGTTCTTCTTGGCTTATAACATTTGGCACTGAGAAACACCCTGTATCATTTTTACACGTAAGTGTAACAGCAATATTAACATACCAGTTCTAGAGATGCCAAAATATGATATTATGGATTTTAAAAAATGCAGTTACAAATCTAATATTTCTTGAACATTTAGAAATATGCAAGCCAAATTCATTCACACTTCTCCATATGTTTTCACAGCTGGAGTTTAATGTATGACTTTGGATATCAGGAATACATTATGTAGAATACTGAAGGCTCTCCTTTTCAACAAACACTGCATCTGCCATCTTCAGGGATAATGCAACTGAGAAGTTATGGAAGTCCTTATATACAGTCAGTGGCAATAACTCAGGTGAAAGAGAGAAGTAGACACTCCCCCCAACTCACTGCCTACTGCCTGCTCTATAAAACGGATTTCCAAAACCACCCAAAAACACATTAATCATGAAAATGGCAATTATAAAGTTTGCTGAAACACTGGAGAATCTTCAGTATTCCCAGTGACATATTCCTGAGAGCCAGTCTTATATTAAGTTCATTAGTACATATGGAAACATATGTTTACTGTCTGGTATGTGTTCTTATTACTTTATGAACAATATGCACCTGAATTTTGGGTAAATATGATTACTATATGCACATAAATAGAACGTAACAGTTTTCTTACTGTAACCCAAGTATAGCAAGGTTTGATTTCATTATTACATGTATGTAAAAGAAAAAGCTGAGTGTTAATTACCATCAACTCCCATATCCAAATTCCCTAAGAATTTCCAGTTTACTGTTTTTTATTATGCTGATATCCCTGTTTGTGTCTACATTCTAGCTAAAGTTACTTTACTGTAACAGTAAGCAGCAGTCAGTTAGCACTATGGCTAGCAGTTTAGTAGATATGCTGGTAGGCACTGTGGCATGGTGATTTGAACTGGGCCAAACTCAGAAGCATCCGTCCATCCAGTTCGGTTTGACAGCTGGCTGATGTACTGTTGTCCTGTACATTAAAAAAAAAAAAAAGGTATGCACATAAGAATTTGCAGGTGATGGTTAAAAATGTGTGTATCTTTAATCTGAGCATAAAAGCATAACAAATCACTGACAAGATACATATGAAATAGATTTGTGTAACACCTACTGAGTAGTAAATGAGAAAAGTCTTATTATTTATTATATAAGCTTTTGTACTATAGTGAAACCTTGATTTAAAGTGCATTTTCTCAAGCTAATTTTTCTCTACTTAAGGTCTTACCCACATTTTATGTATTAAACTGTGATTCCAACATGTGTTCGGGATCTCATTTTAGCATTGAAGTGAATTTTTTTGTGTGTGCTGGTGGTCATAATTTGTATAGTCATAGTCTCTGACTATTCTTTGTTCATTTTCTGTGGTACTTGGAAGCAGTTACTGTTTGTTCTATTTGTGCTGCTTTCAACTGCCACAGTTTCTTCCGAAGTGATTTTGAAGTGAATGGCCATGGTGTTGCAAAAAAAAAAAAAATGGCCATGGTGTTGCAAAAAAAAAAAGTTAACAACAGAAAGTGTGAGAGTGAAAATTATTCATAAGGTGGAAAATAATCCAGCTGTCACGAAATGAAACTTCACATTGTTCTGTGGTGCCTCTATTGTTAACATAATTCTATATAAAGCTTCAATTCTTGAAGAGGACAGCTGGTGCAGAACACCTTACTAGAAATAAAAAAAAAAAAATTACCATTTTATTTAATGAATAAGGTAGCGGCCTCCGTAGTCTAGAGGTAACGTTCCCACCTCATGACTCGTGGTACGTGGGTTCAAAAACCCGGCAGAGGTCGTGGAATTTTTAAGGGCGGAAAAATTCAGGGAACAAGTCCTCCGGGAGGGACTTTAAACCGTGGGTCCCGTGTCATAGCTTTACAGCACGTAAAAGAACCTCATATCTCCAAAGGAGGTCACTGAGCCAAATTCAGGACATTTCCCGCCCAACAGTAGTCTCTAACGCCTCCGATAGAGGGGGGAAGCATTATAGATACCGCCAAGGCAGTAGAGGCGAACTCGCTGGCTCGGTCGGGACTGATGGTACGCACCAGTATCAGTAGGGTATAGAGACTGGTAGAATATCATAGAGGGAGGCACAATGGACCAATACTGGTCTAAGTGCATGGGGAAACCCACCCTCTCTAATAACTAACTAACTAATGAATAAGGTTCAGTACCTTATTATTGATTTAACTAAGTTTAGTCATTTTTTTTTAAACCACCACTTTTGACACAAAATATGTCCCTAAGACTAACATTAAATTGTGGTTTCACTATATTGATTTCCCCCACTTTGTTATTCCTTTCTATTCCTACATGTTATCAAATGTTCTGTCACCTTTATATATTATACCAAATAACACATATCAACATCAAAATATTAACAGTACTCACAGAAGAGACACGATACACTGAAACAAAAGACTGATCACACATTTGTGATATACAACATACCTTAACATTCACACAGCTTGCTGCCTCCATCTTCAGAGTAGAGAAATAACTCAGTTTATTCTTCTACACTGAAGACAGAATTAGCTGGTTCTCCAGAACCACTGGTGATAACCCACCAGATTACACATTATCACATACATCAAACTTTGCTGCATACTTTACATCCAACCCACAATCTATATGCTGCACCATGGCACCCAAAGGAACTATGTTTTTACCTTATTCTAGGCGCAGGAATTCGAGATGCTGGTCGCGGAATGTTACTGCCCCTTCCTTGTGATGGCACCCTGGTTGTACCTGCTATGCCCCCTCGTGACCTTGCAGCTGGTGGCCTCAGTCCTGAGACACCTTGAACGCGGCCTCCCTGTACTGATTCCACGCGTTTCGCTGCCATCTGGGCATGTCAGTCATATGTTTATGAAGGACACGAAGCAACACAAAATCATATCATGTTACATGTGACCTGACATGAGAATTTTATGAACAAAGCAGGAAAATTTTTAACCTGGACTAGAAAAAAAAAAAGAAAACAGCAGACATTCTGTGTGGATACCTACACATACTTCTGGACATGTCTTGGATGTTACTTTGCTAAAAATATTTAAAGGGAATGAAGAATATTTCAAATAAAATTTATAAAGAAAAATCAAACACACAATAAAGCTTTTCTGTAATAACGTTTTCAAAATACTTAAACCAGAACTTTATGCTATGCATGCATTTTTTAATTTCATTATGGTTCAAACAGAAATTGGGACATGCTTCCATTCTGTTATACAAGTTGGAGCAGTCACTGCTGATTAATAAATTATGGGATTTCATGAAATGTGCACTCATAAAGTAACATGCTCTTCCAAGACATAAGGATTTCAAGAATTGTGGTTGTGAATTACACCTTTGCAGCTATATGTGTACAACTTCTGCTTGAAACAGATTTAATTTTGATAAATACTTAGTGAGCTTTGTGCAGAAATGTGTCTAAGTGTTCATGTAAAGTGTCCAATAATTTGATCTGATGTTAAAGAAAATTACAGTGGACTGGAAAATTTTAGTAAAACTGCCTAATATCAAATAGGAGTCAGGATAGCTCAGTTGGTACAGCAAGGGCTATGAGCTGCATGGCCTGGGTTTGATTCCCAGCAGTGCAAGATTTTCCTCTTCTCCACAGCAGCCAGACCAGCTCTAGCGCCCACCCAGACTCCTATCCGGTGGGTACCAGGGACACTTTTATCCAGGAGTAAAGTGGCAAGGGCACAAAGATGACTAATCACCTCCATATAATGTCAAGATCAAGAAGCATGGAGCTACACCTCCACTTCCCCAAATGTCTTCATGGCATAGTACGGGGCTTTCAATCAAGGAGGAAACTTTGCAACACCGCTGACCAGACCCAACATTCCTCACAGATTGCTGCTGTAACTGCCAATAATGGAATGAGTCATTTATCAGCGCTAATGACTCATTCAGCTATCAGCACTTACAACAAAATCTGTGAGGAATGTTGGGCCTGGCCAGTGGTGTTGTGAAGTTTCCTCCTAGACTGAACACACTGTATTTAACCCGTTGCCGTGGTTCGTCGTGTATGGTTCGTCAGGGATTTAAATCGTCTGGGGGGGTTCGGCGTGTCTGTTTCGTCCAGCTGCACACCTATGTTATAACGCCCATAATAATTGGTGGTTTTGCTGTAGATTGTTAGATTTTTCGCTGGCCTGTTGTCACAAGAACAGAGTATACTAAGCCAACGAGTTTAGCTGAGATAAGTCATCGTTACATATGCCTGTCTTGCAGCAAAATTCCTGTGGCTCTGGCGAGCGGATTCTAGCTGTACCGTTATGAAAGGCCTGTTTTCTTTGCTTTGAAGATATAAACAACCGAGACGTGATATTTACGATGTTGATAATATCATATTACCCTGAGCTGGCCACAGTAGCACACTCAATTGCAATTCTTAGAAGAGGGTTGTCCAAAATTTTATTCTCGTAAAATCAATTGCTTTCGCACAGTTCATAGCACCCATTTCTTAGAAAAACGCCACAATATAAGGCAGGACACTGTGGTCACCCCCTGAGACGATACGGATGTGTGTGGGGGAGGGAAAAGTACTCATTCCTTCATAATCATCGCTCCAGTTGACGTCATTTTATCGTACTGACCTTGGTGGTCGTTTCGAGGGATGACCGTAAATATCGGAGCGAGGAATGTGGGGCACCGTTGGGTTACACGAATGCTTCAAGGCCTTCCTTACACTGCTCGAATAGATACCGGGCGCTCATATTATAAGGTAAGTTTATAAAAACCATCTTTTAAGATAATTTTAGTGAAAGTTTCATGCTTCAAGGCGTCCCATTCACTGCTCAAATACTAAACAACCTGCTTCCATTGAAGATATAAAGGGCGCGCATATTATAAGGTAAGGTTATAAAACCACCTTTTAAGAGCATTTTAGTGAAAGTTTCATGTTCCTATCTCATAGAATTTAAGAACAATGATGAATAAATAATTTTCGAGCAAAATTTAAATGGCCGGCTGAATATATTACCGCAGGAGCCGCGGCCGCGGAATTTAAATTACCACGTCAAAGGGTTAATTAATTAGACCCAGGGACAGCTTTCACCCCAACACCAAATTTAATAAAAATCTGTTCATCTGCTCAAGTTTCATGCATACAGACAGACAAAATATTTAGAACAGAATTCACCTAATAGAAATGCCATATCGATTGAGGGGGAAAAAGGTTTAGTACTTCATACCTGTGGCTTAGGGGCTCCCTGCATCCCTGCAGGGATCAGTTTCAAGTCCCTCCTTGGCAAACCAACTACTGCATTACAAGGGACACTTTCTGGAACTGAACAAACAATACATGCTGTGATGTAAGGGGCTGATGCATGACTACAGACATGGCTGCTCGGTGCAAGCAACAAATGGACAGGTGATTATCTCTCAAACTCAATACAGGATTTCTAACATGGCTTAATGTGGAAACAGTGACTAACAACATGATTTCGTATTTGTATTCCAAGTGACACTAAAATTTACCACCATGTCAGTGCATGCACAGTCAACTTCTATTTTGCCTGGTTTACTATTAAAATCTTAAGATGGAGGTAATATGTTTTTGTGAAGCATTAGGCTCACTCCAAGATACGTGGTGTTACATTGTAGAGGACTGTGCTCTCCGGTCACTGCTATGAAACTCACAAATCCATAAATGTGAGAAAGGTCAGCTCCTCCTTGTTACAGCTTTTCTTTTGAAATGTGGATGGGCTCATGAACAAGCTTTCATCAAGTGACATGATCATGACACAGATAAACCGCGAACACCCTAACATGGTGGACAATATGGTTGTTAATCTTGTAGTTACTCTGACCAGCCATTTGTACGTAAGTACAACCCATTCTGTTTGTTCATTCAAACTTACAGAAACCACTTAAGTCCCAGACACAGTGGAATTTATAGAAGTACTTTCACGTAAATGGTAGGTCTGCAGCAGAAGTTCTTTTTTAAGCACAATGATAATGACATGTGCAATTTATTTTAAAAATAAGAAACTCCGTATATTGCCCAGACAATGTATATATGTTTCTCAAAATAAACATTGATTATTGCTCTAAACAGTGTCACCTAATTCATTATCATAATAAGAACAAATTGTTTCATGTAGAAATTTAATTTAGGTAAGCTTATTTAGGTGAGCTTCAGGTTTCAAAAGCTTTAGAGCATGCATGCACACACTTATGCACACCAGTCAAGCAAAAAACTTAAAATATGAAGCAAAAAAATAAAAGAAAATGGAACTCAACAGAAACTAAACCAATGGAACCTTATTATAAAGGAACATGGACTGGAAATAAACAGTGATGGTGTGATTTCAAGGAACCTAGACACAGATGTTAAAATAAAAGTTTAAGAAGAAAATGATTAAGCAGATGGGCAAATTTATTTGGGATGTGAAATGAATTCAGTAGAGAAAACCGACAGCAAGATTAATATGAGATCAGAACACAGTTCTCAATTTTATTAGACTGTAAAACAAATATTACGAAACAGACTGATCCCAAAGCAATAATCTATAAAGTACATCCCAGATCAACACTAACACATAAAGATAAACATAGAACCTTACAAGGAGAAACAAAAGCAGGATCTAAGAAATGGATACAAAATTAAAAAAAGTGCCGAGGAGAAAGAGGAAAAGATAAAACTATAAACAAAGTTTTTTGAAAAGAAGTTGGAATTCAAAATTAGTGATTACAGTGGCTTGAACAAGGTCGATAAGAAGGGAATCAAAATTAAAACATGAATGAAACAGACTTGAGGGTTAACCCAGAACAAGACTGTTCACCTAGACACTGAAAGATATCAAGACGAGAGGAAAGACCTGGCAAGAAATAGGAAGGGAAAGATTTGGGAAGAGAGAAAAGACTGAAAGCCTTTCGTCCACTGATCTGCATGAAATGGAAACAACACTAGATAAGGAGGAAGTGGGTGAATATTTCCTCACCATTTGTCAGTATTTGTGTGGAGCCAATTGGACTTCCACCAGGACTGGACTTCAATGAACTGCGAGAACTTCTTGCCCGACCATCAGCAGAAGAGGAATGGTCCGAATGGTCTGAGTGATAGCCGTGATTAGAGTCTTTTAGTATAGGAGAAGGCATATCGTCTTCTACACCAGGAACAATGCCTGAAAAGATCCACACGCACATGTATAAAGTAAGCAGAATGCCATTCATTACATTGCTAGCATTGAGACTGGTAAAAAATATACTGCATTGTTTGTGCAGCAAGTCTAAAAACACATACAACTAAATTCAAAATAAACCATATCTTTAAAAAAGTATAACTATCCCTGTAACAGGCCGTGAAGGCCCATAGAGTTGTGAGATGTTGAGGGTCCCACATTATCTAGACAATCGGCTCAAAGATGGCAGTGAGGCTGTCAGCCTTACGTGCCAGCCGTGCTTTAATCCCAAGGAAAATTATTTAATTAATTCCTGGTACTCATTTCTGTTAGAGGCTGAGTCGACCCCAGGGCCACAGTGTGGCTGGAAGGACAAAAACATTCTCTTATCTCATTAAATATTTCTCATTACCTTTACAATTTTATATAAAAACATTTAAATTTGGCCAAATATCCATTCTTCCTCTGAAAGCATCACTGATACATGTGACTAATGAGGGGAGACAACATTCATTGGAGGCACTTCACCCCATAAAGAACATAAAAATGGATGAGGCTGACATACTAAAACATGACAGGCTACATGGCTAATACAGGTTGCCTTAATCACCTTGAGAGCTTTGGTAGGGGTTGTAAGCTCCTGATAGGATCGTCCAAGTTATGCAGGTCAAAGGGTAGCATTCAACTAAGGAAACAAAACATGTTACGAAACCTAACAACAGGTGCCCCATGGATAATTTAAGGAAAGGAATGTGGAAAAGTTACCACAATGAGATGTGCAGAGAATGATTTAGGTGTGCTGAAAGTGATGAGATGGAGGCAAAGGGCAAATAACAAAGAATGGGGACCTGGCATAAGGGAGGACAAGGAGTAACAGGATAATGTCATGAGAGAACAACAAAAAATAAATAGGAATATTTTGACGGGTGAGACAAAAACCTGTGAAAAATTTAGTGCACAAAGAAAATACTCATGAAAATATTTTTTAAGCAAATTTACTGCATTTAGGGGGGACAAAAAAAAACAAAGAAACTATGTACACATTTTGTTTCTCTTAATTTCATAGATGAAATTACTGTTTTTAAATTGTAATTTATTTCAGTATTAAAACAATTCTAAGTCTAATGATTCTGATGATATAAGTGGAAAATATGAACACAATTTTTCATTAATAAGCATTATATGAAACCCAAATATTATTCTTGAAATGTCAGCAATCCCCCTGTATTAACCAGTTACCTGTCATGAGCAATTTTAACAGATTTCAGAAGTGAACATCTATAAGCAGTACATATGCACCTAAGATTTCATAAAATAAACTTGTAACACTTTAGGGTTTGTTTAAATGAATGCCCAGTGTCAAGCTCACAGAAACTGCATCAGTCCCCATGAAACCAACCATCAGAATTTTAAACTGACTTTCAAATTTGGCTCTCCATCAGTTGCCTCACTGTCATGCGGTGACTATGTGTGGGCCAGTAGACTACACAGCTATTTTTAAACATCAACTGACTCACCTTCTCTCCTGAAATTGTTTTTTGGTGTTGACATCACCTGCTTTAAACCTGAAATAAGAAGTTTAAATAAGCATGAGTAACACTCTTGCTACAATAGAACTACTCTAGGACCATGGAATGTTCATATAAAGTAACTGTTTTGGTCCTTTAATAAATTTTAATAAATTATAGAGGAAAAAAAAGACTTATGAAGGAAAAATGAGACTAACCACTTCATTAACATATTTCCAGTTCTCATCCTTCCTGTAGGATGTTGCAGAGAATAGATTTGTAGAAGACTAAACTAGTATCCAAGGTCACGTTTTCCCTATCTACTGTGGCACTGAAATTTCCTAAAAAAAAATGTTAATACGGTATTTAGGGAATTTATCAAATATGTTCTGTTCCTTGTGCATGCTGTCCATCATGCCATCAACTTTATACTCTGCTGGGGCATGAACATTCAGAATGATATCATACCAGCAATCTCTTAATATTATGTATAATTTCAATCACAAACAAACTCTACCCTCTTAATTTTAATTTTTTTTTAATTCGCATAGTGGGGGTGGAGTCCAGCTGGGTCCACTCAGAATGGTGGGCACTTATTGGCCTATTGTACCTGGCCCAGGTGATTATGATGATGGAGAATTTGGTGGAATGAAGATTGGCAGGGGAAACCGAAGTACTCTGAGAAAACCTGCCCCAGCGCCACTTTGTCCACCACAAAATCCCACTTGACCAGACACGGGCTCGAACCTGGGCTGCCGCAGTGGGAAGCCAGTGATTAACCGCTTTAGCTATGGCACAGCCATAACTCTACCCTCTTACTGGCTGATATGATTCTCTTATGTATCAAAAAAATTTATGATTTTCATTCCCTTTTCCATAGTGAAATGTATATTCGCCCGCTGGTTCAGTGCCTCCTCCATCCCATCTGACCTGTACTCCTACTGAATCTAACTTATATTCTCATATTTCTTTTGCCTCTGTGGTCTAGTGGTCAGAGTTCCTGGCTACAGATCTAGAGGTCCGGGTTCCATTCCCGGTGCTACCAGATTTTTTCTGAGAAGTAGTGGGTCCGGAACGGGGTCCACTCAGTCTTGTGGGGATAACTGAGGAGCTATTTCAAGGAAATAGTGGCTCCAGTCTAGAAAACCAAGACTAACGGCCGTGGGGATCCATTGCACTGACCACATGACACCCTGTATGAACAAAAGTTGGCACTAACTTCGCTGACAAGAGGTGGTCGCTTGATCAGTATAGTTCACTTGAGGACTACAGGCCATGGAGTTTTACTGTCATGAGTGATCTGGCCTATACAGATTTTTTACATTCTATATACCAAATCTCACATCCATTTTCCTTAGCTCAGGTCGTTTATCGAATGAATATGCTAAAGTCTAAGGCCCTTTTACGACATTTCATAACAAGATTATTATTTCATATTATTTCAAGTGGGGAGTTGTGAGCACCATGCCCAACCCCCAAGCTGGAGAACCACCCCTTATCTGCTGTCTGCAACTGCTTATTCAGTATATTTGGAGCTACCATCCATATCTGGAGGCCGTCTCCTCCATCCGAAACCTGAGGACGCATCATGCCACAATAACAAGGGACCAACTTAAAATGGATCTTTCACCTATTATATAAAATATTATACAGATACAAAATATGAACTTTAATATATTTTTAATAAGTTACAATATATTTTCTTCTTGGAGGCGTGCAATATTCTGGACATCACCAACATTCATGAGACGATTACTAGACGAAAAGCTGCTATCTGATGCACTGCTAAACTGGTCATCATCACCCCCACTATCACAAGACACTGCACGGGCGCTGCGATTACTGCTACCGCTGCTACCTTCTTGAATTGAAAATGTACAGTTCAACCCTGATGGCGTTATACTTCTTGATCTAGGAGCCAACTGAAATGTCGCATTCATCTCAACAGACTTCTGACAATTTAATGTGCACGGATCAGATACTTTAAGAACGGCTGCATTTAAATCTGGCTCTGACAACTTCTGGTAAGTTGTATGCATTTCATCTATACGAGACACAGTCTTTTGAAATGTGCTGTTTCTTGCATCGTATGTTACCTGGAAGAAAAATGAAGACAAATTATATAAATATAATTTGAGATTCTCACAGCTATCTTCTATCTATTGGGTTATGGCACCGTACAATATTGTAGATGGATACAAATATTTTGGAGGGATATACTTCCTCCATCTTCAGGGTTTAATTCAGAAGACAATTTAAATCTTCACTGAACCTCAAATACTATGCATGTAATATAGCGCAGCCTGTATTCTGACCTAACTTTACTGCAAAAAGAAATTAATTTAAGGAACATATGCACACTAAACATTCTACTATGGCAATAAATTTGTTATCATACATTTAATTGTGGCTCCGATGCTATTTTCTGAGATACTGTGTTGAACCCCAGTGATTCATTTCTACAGAAGTTGGCACCAAGAAGCAATGATTCGGATGCTAAGGATCCGAAAGTACGGCTGAAGGAAAGGCTGATATCGTCGTCATCATCATCATCCCCATTTTGAATATCAGCAGCCCTCCACGGTGAGACAAGTCTCTTCCTATTTCCATGTACAGGTGTTTCCACCATAGTTTCTAAACTTGGACGGCCCAACCGCTTTTTTGATCTTGTAAACGTACGTGTGTCTATGCTGTTTCGCCTTAGTCCTGAAAAGGTAAGAACATATTTGAAAGGTACCACACAGAGAGGTGTTAAGACTAACTCCATGATGCACAGTTCTTAAAAAGCTAACAGTTGCCCACTCTTTCAGTCAAGAAATTCACTACATTTCATGGAACCTGAAGGTTCATTACCATCTTCACAAAAGCCTGCCGATGGTCCCTATCCTGAGTCACATGAATCCAGTCTACATCCTCTTACCCCACTTTCCCTTAAGGTATATTTTAATGCTATACTCCCATCTACGCCTAGATCTTCCTAGTAGTGTCTTTCATTCAGGACTGATGTGTTGACCATATTCATCATGAAACATTTTCCTATGCAATACATGACTCACCAGCAGAATGCTGCCATAATGAAACAAACCTCTAACGACAGTATATATTGATAATGGATATGAATTTCCCCACTCGTCATCAATATATAGTACAGTATGTGTAACAATGAAAGAAGGGTATGGGACAACAAAGATAAAAACTGCAACTTAATGGAACATGACCGCTGCTGTGGTCTAGTGGTCAAGAGTTCCTGGCTACAGATACAGAGGTGCCGGGTTCGATTAGCAGCACTACCACATTTTCTGAGAAGTAGTGGGTCAGGAACAGGGTCCACTCAGTCTCGTGAGCATAACTGAGGAGCTATTTCAGGGAAATTGCATTCATAAAGACAGGAAGACTACATAGAATAACACCTGTACAGTGTGGAAACAAGAACTAGCCGCTGCAGCACTTTAGATATAGGGCGAGTAACCCTAACAATTTTAAATTTAAAATTTAAAATTTAGAGAAAATTTTAAAGGATTTTAAAATTATAACTAAAGATTTTATAGTGCTACTACAGGAAAATCAAAATTGACGTGTGCAAAATAATCTACATACCAGACAGATATCAACGAGGTAGATGTTCATAATAACAAAGAAAATGACAATGTGTTTTTTAAATGTTAAATTTTAGACTGGGTTCAGTGTGGCAGCAACGTAAGAGTATACACCTGATGATGGCCATTAGAGGCCGAAACATGTAGTGAAGAAGAGAACAAGATCAAAGACATATAATATATATTGTTTGCACTTGGGACGGAGTTTGTATCATTTATCGTGTAGAGTGCAACAGGATGCTTAAATATAATATTCATAAAGAAATTAAAATCACATTAATTTCAGATAATGCTTGCTACCACTCACTTCAGTATCTACTGTTATCGTGCCCGCTGTCTAAAAACATACAGAATAAAATGTGCAAAACGATAATTTCATCTCTTTACATCAAGGGAAGAACAAAGACTGTGGGTGTTTGAGGAGATGATGCTGAGGAGTATGCCTGGACCCATGAGGGAGGAAGCAACAGGAAGATGGAGAACACTATATAACAAAATCATAATTTGTAGTCCTCATCAAATACTATTAGAAAATCAAAGAGGATGAGACGAACTGAGCATGTAGCAAGCATGGGAGAGAAGAAAAGTGCATACAATGTTTTCGTTGGGAGACCTGAAAGGAAGAGACCTCTAGATAAACCTACACACAGATTTGATTTTTTTCATTCTGGTCCATCACACTATTAATTACAAAGTGGATAATTTTTAGTCCAGTGTGACATACAAGTTTACAACACTTCAGTTTTTATTCACCTTACATGTTTCGATTCAAAAGAATCATCCTCAGAGGCACAACACTACCATCAGGAAACACTGTCACATAAGATGTTTTAACAATATGCACTTAAGCTATGAATAATGCTCACTATATAAATTCTTTGTTATTATCACAGTTAGTTTTGATGTTTGCCTTAAGCATTCACGATGACGCTTCTTGAAGTGTAGATTTACGTATGATGCTGTTTCTTTTAAGCGTATTTGCTGGGTATTCTGATTGGGACTTCCCACTGCACACGATATGATGTTCACTTTTCCATACAGTAGCTTCCCTATGTATTTAAAATTGTATTAAAATTTCTTTTGTATGTAAAAAATTAGTAATTATGTTAAAATATCTTGAGCCAACATTGGGTCATGTTGTTTTCCTCCTGATGGTGGAAGATGTCGTTTATTTCTCTTGAATGTATGTTTTTATTGTTAGTCGTGTAGTTTACGTGTGTGCTGTGT